TCCTATCTCAGCCTCCCAAGTAGCTGGGATTACAGGTATGTGCCATCAAACCAGGCTAATTTTTAAATATTTTTAGTAGAGATGGGGTTTTGCCATGTTGGCCAGGCTAGTCTCAAACTCCTGAATTCTGGTTATCTGCCCTCCTTGGCCTCCCAAAGTGCTGGGATTACAGGCATGAGCCACCATGCCTGGCCTAAAAGAAATTAAAAAAAAAAATAAATGGGCATAGTGTCATAAACCTGTAATTCAAGCAACTCAAGAGGCTCAAACAGGGGGAATCCTCTGAGCACAGGTGTTCAAGGATGCTGTAAGCTGTGATCACAACTACATTCCAGCATGTGCGACAGAGGGAGAGCCTGTATGCGTGTGTGTGTATGTGTGTGTGTGTGCGTGTATATATATATATATATATACTTTAAAAGTATATACATATATATACTTTTAAAATTCCTAAAAAAGCATAAAGCCCAAACTGAATCTGATGCAATGTTCCAGCAAAGAGGCAGAGCAAGGCAAAACTCTTAAGGATATGAAATAAAATGGCTCCTTCAAGAACTGTGTATTCACTCTGTTCATTTCTGGAAACCCCTGGTAGTTCTTGTGGCCAACTTTGTTTTAACCTCCCCATGAATATTAATAATAAGCATCTTTCCAATGAATTATAAGAGGAGATAAAATGTGGCTTTGCCAGTAAAATTCTGAAAACAAACAGAATCAAAACAATGGCTGTCAAGAGGTGGAAAAGTCCAGTGAAAACAAACGTGGACGAGGAGAGCACGAAGGTCAGGCAAGAGTCACCGAAAAGCTCAAGTCATCTTGCTGGTTGACTTTCTGGAAAAGTATAGTATCTGCTTATTCTGAGAATATTTCGTGACAGCCAGAGCTTTAGTAGAGAAATGCTGGGAAAGCTTCAGCAGAAGCGGACATTGCTTCACCATGACATTGCTTCTGCTCATTTCTCTCATCAAACGGAGCAATTATATGAGAGTTCTGATGGGAAATCATAAAGCTTCCATATTACAACCCTAATTTGGTTCCTTTGGACTTCTTTTTGTTCTGTAATCTTATAACATGTGTAAAAGGCCTCCATTTTTCTTCAGTTAATGATGTAAAAATTATATTTCAATAGCTGGTAAATAAATCTTCTTATGAGTACCAGGTTGTAGAATTAAAGCTAACTTCCCATGTAACACTTTAAGTTTTTGCTCTATTCCACGGATAACAGGAGGTAAAAGGTTAAAGATCCCCAGAAGCTTTTGCACATCTTTGGGGAGACTAAAAATTCAGGCGTCTATTCAGTTGAGCCTTGGGCAGTGGCTGCAGTGCTTGAATTACACAGTGTATGTGTCTCACTTACTTGCATGAAGACGCTTTGTCCATCTCTCTCTTATCTTTTCCTCTACTCTAATCTCAGTTCCTTTAAGGATTCGGGTTGACCTGAGAAGGACTAAAAGCCCTACATACCCAACTACAAATATTACAGAAGTATCAGGGAATGTGGAAACATAAATATTTATAGTTCTATTGCCTGTATGTCCTCAATTCACCATTGTGCTTGATTCTGTCGGAGTGAGGGAAGGCATACTGAGAACACAGGATAGAGCCACTGTGGCACATGAGGGGAAAGAAAGGAAGAGACTGCAAGTCTGTAGAATCCATAGTCACTGGAGATGCATTTGAAAGGAGTTAGACTCTGGGGCTAGAAGCCAGTGGGGAAAAAAGCCTTTTCAGTTGCAGTAGTCCTTTATTATTGCTGTTGTTATTAGTATTATTATTTAATTTTAGACACAGGGACTTGGTCTGTTGCTTGAGCTGGAGTACAGTGGCGCAATCATGGCTCACTGCTGTCCTGAACTCCTGGGATCAAGCAATTCTTGCAGCTCACCCTCTGAAATAGATGGGACTGCAGGTGCAAATCCCCAAGCCAGGTTGATTTTGTAAATTTTATTGTATAGATGGGGAGGTCTCACTATGTTGCTCAGGCTGATCTCAAATTCCTGACATCAGCAGTCCTCCAACCTCAGCTTCCAAAAGTAGTGAGATTACAGTCGTGAGCCACCATGCTGGGTCTATAGACACCCTTTCTACCTCAGCCTTATTTTCCTGCAATCTGTACACCCCCAATCAGAAGACAGTAGGGCTGCCTGGCTGTGGATATATCCTCTAAGAAGCCAATGTTAAAGTCCAGGGTTTCTGTAGGAAAAAAGAAGTGCTTGAGTTCAATTGAGCTTTGAGCAAATGGGGTACAAAAGAAAAAGTTAGAAAGACGTTGTGGAGAAGGCTCTTGGGACCCATGCAGTGCACTCTTCCGTTGTTTTTATTTTTATAAGTGTGGTATGATGTGAAACACTTATGCTTTTATCTCATAAGAGTCAAGGACAATCATCCACATAGAAGCCCCACATAGAATAATGTCAGTGGGACTAACCTTTCTGCCAGTGGAGCCAATGGGAGGATCAGGATGTAGCCTCAGTGCCTCTACCCTTCAATGTGCAAAGCTTGCCTTATTGAATGTTCTGGATTTTATAAACAGAGACAATGCTTGTGTGAGAAATAAAATGGAAAATTATTCAATATACTTTTTTCAATATACATTTAAAAACCATAAACAGTTAATCAATTCTTAATGCAAGATACAATCAAGACATGGCAACCTTGAAACAACTTGGATATGGGATGATCAGGCTTTAAAGCAGGCTCTTACAGCCATGGTTTCTGAGCTAAATGTGAACACTCTCAAGTGGGAACAAAATTCTCAGCAGGAAAGAAATTACATAAAATAATAAAGCAGAAATATTAGAGCTGAGATATACAATGTCTAAAATAAAAAAAAGAAAATATACCTTAGTCACTGTGAAAATTACCAGAAAGTAAATGCTTAAGGAAAGACTCAATCAGTGGTTTGGAACTGGACTGATAGAAATTTTATACTCTGAACAACCCAGGTTAAAATAATTGAAAAAATTTTACGTAGTTTCACAAATATGAAAGGCTACAACAAATGATGCGACAATCACACAATCTGAGTTTCAGAAAAGAGAACAATGAGGATGGTATTAAAAGAGGACTCAGAGAAAAAATGGCTAAAAAATGCTCACACTTGCAAAGGGCATAGACCTACAAATGCAAGAAGCTGAGACAATTCCCATCATAATATACTCAGGAAATCTATGCCCAAGAACACCATGGCAAAATTTCTGAAAAACAAACGAATACAATGTTTTGACAAAAGCAAGAAACAAATGGCATTATAGTTATAGGAAAAACACAACGTGAACAACCATAGATTTAATTCAGAAACCAGAAAAAGAAGAAGAATGTAGCTCAAATATTTAAAGTCTGAAAGAAAAGAAAATTGCAAACCAGATATTTATGTCTAACAAAACTATCCTTCCATAATAAAAAGGAAATTCAGGTATTCTCAGAAAAAAAGAATGAAATCTAAAAGAATTTGTTTCCAACAATCTTATCTTCTAAAAATGGCTTGATGGAGCTTTCTGAACAGAAAAGAAAGGATAGAAGAGGAATTTTTGGAAATTCAAGAGTGTAGAAAAAATGAAACAGAAAGTGGGAAAACAGTAAGTAAACAAAAATATCTTTCTTTTCTTCTCAAGTTTTCTGCCTGAGTTTCAAAAGGGTCAACTGGCCATTCCTAGTTTTGAAGATGGGAGAGAGACAGGTAATGTGGCAAGAAAATGAGATTCTTCTCTAGAAACTCCAGAGAGGAACTCATCATGACACATGAACTAAACACAGTGAGACCCAGTTCAGATTCTGAGCTGCAAAACTGAAGACAATTAATTAATGTTGAAGAAAAAATTATAAAACTTGCTGTGGTGCTAAATACCTGTAGACATGTATTTAAGATGATTATATTATAAATGGGAAGTTCAAGAGACAGAGAAACAAGGTTTTCATATTTCATCTAATACGGTAAAATGCGCACACCACTAGACTGTCATAAGCTGTGTGTGTATATGTAATGTAACACCTAGATCAACCACTAAACACACTGTATGGAGAGACCCTAAAAACTAAAGATCAATTGAAACAGAATCAAAAAAGATTTTCAGGAATTTATAAATCTGTAGAGAGAAAATAATCAAAAGTATTATAAATATAAAATAAACAAAAAAGACTAAAATGTCAACAACTACATTAAATGCAAAAGGTTATTAAAGGTAAGTATCTGCCTTTTCAGTGTGTGCCGTACACTACTGCATAGATCTATACTTTGAAGTACAAATATTTTCACTGCAACCAATTTTCCAGGAACTCATTAATATCCTCATGCAAATATCTGGAAGAAGCCTGGGTAACTCTCTCTACCTGCCCTGAATGAAACCAGATCTAGAGGAGTAAGATGTCCACTCTGTGTGTGCTATGAAGAATAATGTACTCTCAAAGACACACACTTACTAATTCCCAGAACCAGTCAATGTTAACTTACATGACAAAGGGAAATGACATTTGCTCCTCAACTGACTGAAATATATGGAGTCTTACCTGGATCATCCAAATAGACCAGTGTAATCACAAGGTCCTTAAATGTGGAAGAGGGAGGCAGAAGACTCAGTGTCAGGGAGATGTGATGATGTGATGTGCTATGATGTGATGTGATGTGATATGATGGGATGGGATGGTATGGGATGGGATGTGATGTGATGTGATGTGATGTGATGAGATGTGGTGGGATGTGATGTGATGTGATGTGATGGGATGGGATGAGATGTGGTGGGATGTGATGTGATATGATGGGATGGGATGGGATGGGATGGGATGGGATGGGATGTGATGTGATGTGATGTGATGTGATGTGATGTGATGTGATGTGATGTGATGGGATGAGATGTGGTGGGATGTGATGTGATGTGATGGGATGTGATGTGATGGGATGTGATGTGATGGGATGTGATGGGATATGATGGGATGTGATGGGATGTGATGGGATGTGATGGGATGTGATGGGATGGGATGGGATGGGATGGGATGGGATGTGATGTGATGTGAGGCTTGAGCAACTATTGCTGAAACTGAAGATGGAAGAGGGCCAGGGAATGTGGGCAGGAAAATAGGATTCTTCCCTAGAGACTTCAGAATGGAAATCAGCATTTCCGCCTGGATTTAAGCCAGTGAGACCCATTTGTGACTTCTGAGCTACAAAGCGACTCACTTTGTAATAATGTGTTATGGCAGCAATAGGAAAACTAATCTACTTTCCACACACTAATTTCATGCTTTTTCTGTGGTGCCTGTTTGTGTTAGTGGCAGTGTATAAAGTATAAGAGAGGAATAGAATTATCATGGCTTTTTTATAATACCCGGCTAATAAGCAGCATCCTCCCCATGCAATGAACACCACTCTCAAAATGCAATTTCAATAAACAATTATGGAGCCCACATTCAATGGAGAACAGCTAGTAACGTCCCTCTCTCAGCCTGGACAATTCCCTCAACTCAGCCAGGATCAACGCCTCAGCTGGGCACATCCCATGCTTCTCTCGTTTTCTACAATTATTCATTCTCCTGTAATTTGGGGGTGGCCTTGTTCTACAGCTCAGAAACTTATTAGAAATTGGTGGATAGCATGGAGATACTCAGGGCTAATAAAAAAGTTGCTTCATGATCTAAACTGACAACCATGACAACAGGGAGGAAAGAGAACGTCTTTAACCTCCATGTCAGATTTCACAGCTGATATGAGCATCGGGGAAGATGTAAGTTTGCAACGCTTTTACAGAGGACTGAAACCAGCATTGGGAATGGTATGATACCTCTACTAAGATATTAGAGGGAAAGAAGATAAAAATCACAAACAGGTACTGAAATGGATTCTGTATCCTGTGGAGGTGCTGGGTTTTCTGCAATAAAGAATTGGTTTGATTCACTTTCGCTAAGATTCATTTCACGTATGTATGCCTAGTATTCTCTTGTCAGCCTCCAGTAGTGTTGGTAAATGTAGGATTCCACTGAATCCGTGGCACCAAAATCCTCCCTTTCCTAACTGCCAAGGCACTCTGCCAGGGCTGATATCCTGCCAATGGAAGTGAAGTGCAAAAACACTCCCTGAGAAGGATGTGATTAAAGGTTGGTCCACTCACACTTAGAAGTTCCTAAGAGTGGCAGGTGAACTGGACTTGTCCTCAAGCTACCAACATATTCTCTTCTCCACAAGAGTGGACTCAGCTAAGCAAACATGATCCCTGGGTAAGAAGGGCACAAAATTGGGGCAGAGTTCCAGAGCCTGTCACAGAATCCCTCCTAAGGAAAACCAAAGATCAGGAAGAAAGAAAGAATACAAAACTCTATGCCCTTACATGGTGTTCCAGTCATGGACTCTTCAGAATAAACGACAGCAATATGTCCTAGAAATCAGGGAAGGAATGGGAAGGACTGTCATCATTTAAAGGGTAAAACCTCTGGGGAAATGCCTCTTCCTATTAAAAATCAAAGAACCTCCATAAGTTGGGAATTGCCACAGTCAGCACCACCTCTGGATACGGAGGTGTGGAAACAGATGGGTCCAGGACACTAGCAAAAATGCCTAAATGGATTAGGGCCATGAAGCCGCCCTTTGCTTTTATAGTCAAACATGAGAATTTTCCTGACCCTGCCATGGGTTGTAAAGGAAAGAAGACGTTGCTCACATTGAACATTCCTTCCCTTCTGAGAGGTAGAAACACTACAAACACTAAGGGAAGGCACCATTGTGCAGGGAGTATGTTCTGCAGAGGAAAAGCCTAGTGGAAGAGCAAGAATATAAAGCCATACCTCATTTCAATAGGCCCTCAGTCACCACCAAAGTACATTCTTTAGATTTCTCCATGAACGATGTGCAATCCCACAGGATATTTACAGCAGTGCCAGAAGATAGCCATTATCTGTAGACATAAGATTCAGATTGTTCAGAAACTTGCTTCCATAGGTATTACCAAGTATTCTTTTTAGAAAAAAAATTCAGTTATCCCTCAGACAATTGGAGCTTGTTTTAGGTAGGAGAAGGTCTTGAAATCTTATGATCCCCATGGGTAAATGGAAGACAGAAAAATAAGTAAAGGCTTGAGTAAAGGAGTTGGCATGCAGAAGACCACTGCTAGTTCATGAAGCTTTGAAATCTCTTTTTATTCTGTTCACTCTAAGCAGGGTCTTGGAAGGAGCCTGTGAACATGAAGGATCCCAAAATTGAAGCTTCATAAGCTTAGTAGATCATTCCAATCTGAAAAAAGTCATATGTCATTCTTGTTAGGATGCCTATTTAAATACGCCTTTAATTGCTCAATAAAAATGTACAAACACATGTCTCAGACAATCCGCAAATGTGAACATAGAAAAGTTTAGCTAAAAAATAAAATTAGTCAAAATTTAAGATAAATACAAACTCTTTATGTATGATATCATAAACTTCTGTTTCTATCTGTGTCTATTTATTAAAGGTCACAGAATATTTTTTATGATATAGAAAGGTTTGTTTGGCAGTTGTAAAGGTGGATAAGTAATAGACCTGAAACAATGTAAATTTTCTATTTAAAAAACTATATTTGTTAGACTCTCAGAGTATAAAAATGCATTTATCATTTAAAGCTGTTGCTAGAGTTACAAACATAGGTTATATTTACTCAGTGATCTTGTAAAAAATAACTGTGTAGGCTGGGCGTGGTGGCTCATGCCTGTAATCCCAGCACTTTGGGAGGCCGAGGTGGGTGAATCATGAGGTCAGGAGATCAAGACCATCCTGGCCAACATGGTGAAACCCATCTCTACTAAAAATACAAAAATTAGCTGGGCATGGTGGCACATGCCTGTAATCCCAGCTCCTCGGGAGGCTGAGGAAGGGGAATCACTTGCACTAGGGAGTCGGAGGTTGCAGTGAGCTGAGAATGCGCCACTGCACTCCAGCCTAGTGACAGTGAGACTCTGTCTCAAAAAAATAAATAAATAAAAAATAACCATGTGATTATCAACTCATGGCCATGTTACATTTAATGCAGCCAGTGAAGGAAAGACAGCAGCAGCTTCTTCTGATAAAATTAGGAACACAGGTAATAGCAGTCTGCCTTATAAAGTAACTTGAATACACTTAAATAGAAAGAGATATAAACAAAAGGATCATCTGTGGAATCTGCTATAAACTGTGATAAGGAATTTGTCTCTATAATAAGGGTATTGGAAAGCACAGTGCATTGAACACATAAACTAATGCTCTTTCCCAATGTCCCAATAAAATTACAATAAAGAAGCACAAAGGAAATTTAATATCCAAGGATCAGGAGAATGAAACAAGAGACGACAATAGCAATAAATGTAAACAAGACTGTGGAATTGGAATAACAAATAGAAAAATAACAGAGTTTATGAATCAGCAAAGCCAAAATCCGACATGAAAAGAGGATGGTGGTGCCACAATTTTCACCAGAACCCCTGGAAAATTGGTCCTATATGAACATTGCATTTTCCTGTGCAGAAATTCATATGTATATACATTTTAGTGCATATTCTGCATCAAAGTTAGTTTTCATCCACTAAATCCTGTGCATTTCTTGCTATTTGATCCTAGGTATTTTATATTGTTCTCATGAATAAGCTCATTCTCTCATCTCTCATCTCTCTCTCTCTCTCTCTCCCCCCCCTCTGTCTCTCTCTCTCTCTCTCTCCTTGTGTGTGTGTGTGTGTGTGTGTGTGTGTGTCTTTTTGCATTGTCTTATACTGTTACCTGTGAAATGTATGTCTTAGAGAAAGTCACTCAATCACATTAAGATTTTATTTCTATTTTTGAACAGTGAACATAAATGCAAAATACCCTCAAAGTGCTATTGTAAGGACTAAAAGAGCAAGGCATCTGAAACATCTACCATACAAGGTAGAAAGGAATAATTAATAAACTTCAGCTATATAGCCATGCATGGGTAGAAATATAATATATGATGTAGACAGCAATTTGGTTACTAAAGCAAACTTGATTATTCAGTATTGCATAGAGACAATTACATATTCGTGATTTTTAAATGAATTTTAAATCTCTATCTCACAGCATGGGCTTCCTCACAGCATGTGGCAGGTTCCATAAAGAACAATTTGGAATTGCATGGCATTTCTGTGATCTGGACTCAAAAGTCACAAAGTATCACTTCTGATATAATCTATTGGTCATGACAGTAACGAAGTTCTACCCAAGCTCAAGGGGGTAAAACAAGAACTCATCCCTTCAAGAGAGGATGTCAAGGCACCATTGTAAGAAGAAAACATTAGAAGAATGATTCTATCATGATCAACTTTTAAAAACACAATAAGCCACACATCCCAGTTTCCAAGATAATAAATATGCACACAAGTGCATTTCAAGTCAACAAAATATAGCAATAATTTGTGGTTCGTAGGCAGAAGAGACAACAGCTTATGTGAGAGAATAGGCGTTTAATGCCTGAGTCACTGATTAATCACTTTGACAAATTCCTCTTTTCAATGTATCAGCTTGCCGACTTTGTACGTCATCAGTAAAATATGTTGGTGACATACACTGCTTCATATTTCTTATAAGTTGTGAGCGCACTTCTCTATGAACTTAAACGAAGTATAACTGAAAGTTGAAGAACATACTCTGACATTGTGATGGCACTGGTGAGCTGAGGCTACAGACACTTGACCTTAGTCTGATGACCAATGCCTTGTACAGCCCCAACCACTGAGGAAGGAACACCATCTCTGGGGATGGGACACAGGTGACATCATGCAGAAGACTGAAGGCTGTGTAAACAGTATACAATTTATCTTTTCTTGGACATCTCTCTAACCAGACTCACTCTTGATTTTTAAAATTTTATATCCATTGTGATTATAAGGATCAAATGTAGTCAAGGTAAAAGGGCACACACAAATGCTGCAACGCTAATATGTCACCCAAGGGAAACGCGGGTAGTGTGGATTAAGGAAGTACATACAGGATCTACATTGACAGGGTTTTGTAATCAGAAAAGAAAGGAATTAATTCCTCTGACTATCTTTACATAAATGTGAGGAGTAAAGCAGAATACTAGAAGATTTTTTGAAGTGATTATGATTTTAAACAAACATGTTCATTCAGGAAAATACACTTTTTCTCACCACTCTTGTTAAAAGTCTCAGGAAAATGTAACCTTGAAAATATTCTAAGAGAAAGTTGATTTTGTTTTCTGAACCTAATTTCCTCTTACTCTGTAGTAAAGAAATGAATGAATGAAGAGCAAGTAATCAGTGGAGCACAGTGGGCAAGAACTCAGCTCTGAGAACTGCCTGCCTTCCATTCCCCTTACTACCTTTTCACCAACCTAGGCATGCACCAGGGTCAGCTTATCTACAAGATTAAGACAATAATACAATCACACCTCCCTGAGATTGAATATCATACCGTAAATGCCGAAGAAATGTTTTCTGTTATAATCAGTCTTTGCTGGGTTACATGGAAAGGACATAAACACACTCAAATAATTGTGAAATATGTATTTAGGGAGCATCAATATCAAATAAAAATATAAAGATGACTATCAAACTAGTGTAACCAAAGTTTTTAGACAAGTCAAAGCAAAGCTGAATTTTCAAACACAACTGCATTATCAGAATGGTTAGTTTATCCAATGAACACAGTAAGCTGAGGAAGATTCTGCCTTCTGTTCCATTCAGAGAGCTTCTGTGTGGGTATGAGAGAGCTGAGGCATGAAATTTGGGTCTTATTACAAGGGCAGAAGAAAGTTCTAAGAGCATCTGAAGCACAAAAGTGTTATGATCTAATTTCTACTGTTAAATCATCACTCTGAGTGATGTGAGGAGAATTGACAGGGGATGTGCTGGGGTAGAACGTTACCAAGAGCAGCTCAGCATGTGAACGTCCTTCAGGAGACAGCATCACGGCCTGATCTATCACCTTCTAGTAAAGATTATGCAGGTGATTCTGTTTGGGATGCCTGTTGAAAGTGGAGGCAACTTAATTTGCTAATGGTCAGTGACTGAGGGGAGTGAGGATTTCTGAACCACTAAACACCTGTTAGTGACTTAGAAACGGTTGGGAGCTCTTGCGGGAGCTGAACTGTGTTTTCTAAAATTTCATATGTTGAACACTGTTACTTCATACCCTAAGAATATGAACATCCATAGTCGAAAGCAAGTGGAGTGCTGAGGGCTGCCACTCACCTCTAGGTGCCCAAGCTCCTGCTGCAGTCCTGCTTCTCCCTTCCACCCACCCTCACTCACAGACACTGTCCTTTCAGTTCTTCCATCCCTTCTATTTTTGTTGTGTCTGGATTGCATAGCTGATATTTATGCTTTCTTGATACACTTTACTCACTGCTGACATTGGAGAAGGTCAGCAAAAGGGCCTGAGGTGAGAGACCTTTAGGGGCATTACCTGTTCTCTTCCTGTACTCTCCTCTAATGTCAAGTCTTGCATCAGGTCTGCGGCAACCTCAGTCGGCCACGTAATCAGGCAATGTTGGCTTGGCCTCTTTGCTGCTCCTTGTCCCTGACACTCTTTTGTTACCCGATGGTGCAACTTAAGCTACCAAGGCAGGATTGCTCATCTCCATTTCCTAAGGAAAAAAGTGACCGGTGAGACCAGAGACACAAATCTCGATAACACAGTGGGACCTGCTGGCCCAAGCAACTATTCTCTGCCTAAGATAAAGTTCATGAAGCCCAACTAGAACCAATTCACTTCCTACCGAACCAGAGAAGAATTGCCAATTAATAATATATTTCCCCTTCAAGTATGCCTATATTTATGCCAGGGAAAATAGCAATCTTCTTGGTTCTCTTGCAAGGGCAAAGTTATGTAAGCAAAATGTTTTGTATTAGGAAGTCTTCCTGTACTATTACCTGTAACCCTTCTGAAGGGCCAGACCAGATCCTCATCTGCACAGCCCAGGATCTCCTCATCCACAGTGGTCATGAGGTCTGTCTTTATGATTTACTGTCACACATCCTCTCTACCCTCATCATACCTCCAACCAAGCTGTCCTCAATTAACACGTTATACACAAATGTGAACAAGTGCACAAGACACACGGAAGGTCCAAGTGGTAAAAGGCAGTTGTTGATACTGACTCACCCGTATATTCCATGAACTGATGAGACCGGATTTACTTGGTAGAACAATCAGCAGCTGAAACAAGAGCTACTAACGCAGGACTCTGATAGGGCTTTTGGAAACACAACGTTTATTGTGAAATTACACAGACGAGAATGAAACAAAGATGGTGACGAGTACTACAGCCTATTACTTAGAAGATTAAATAAAGGAAACCTTATCAAATTTGTTGGGGAAAAGCCAGATATGTGAAGAAAAATATACATAGTGAGCTTGACTCAGAAAATGAAATATGAACCAAGAAGTACCAGAAAGAACATCAAGAGGGATGCATATGGGAATATTGTAGAAAAACTACTGTTTGTGGAAGAACAGTCTGAGAAAACAGGTAACACGGACACTGACTAAACCAAGAAAACCTCTACAATGCAATTGAGCATTGACTGGGTGGTATCTGATTACCTTATTTGAATGCAAAATTGTGACCATTTAATTATCAGTGGAGGGAATTCAAATAATTTCTAAGAAAATGAAGCTGAGGGTGACTTTAATGGAATGTTGTAGAGAAAGGGAAGAGCATGAAGGAAGTTTTGGTGATGTGACATCATGTGGCTCCCTCAAGGAACTGTGTGTTCAGTTTCCTCAGTCTAGGAATATCCTGGTGGTTTCTGTGTCCATTTCAGATTAATAACCCCTGAAGATACTTTGAAATACACAATTTTGGCCTTCCTGTGTGGCACGACACCAAGCCTTGCCTGAGCTGAGTGAGATCCAGAGAAGTTTGGACAATTCGTGTAGCCTGAGCAGGCTGCGGGGCAGCTTTCTGTCATCTTTGTGTGCCCAGGAGTGTGCTGTCCTCACACATCTCACAGTTAGCAGAAACCATCACTATCACATCAAAAATGTAGCTGAATGGGAAACAATCTGTACACACACATCACAAGAGATGGATATAGGCTCTTCAAAAAGTCAAAGATACTGACCATCTTCACTGCTGGCAGTAGCTTTTCTCCCCACACACATACACATAGCAATAAATACTACAGTGAAAAGCAGAGAATAGTCTTGTCAAAAAGATTGAAACTCTAATGGTATGCGAAGTTCAATTATGTCACAGTGCTGATTGCTTGGACACAGTTCCTTTAAAACCTTTGTTCAATTCATAGTTGTACCTTTTAGAAATAAGACACAAACAACATCCACCCAACACATCCCTCTGGGCTATAATCCCAAAGGGAAATAAGGGACACACCTGACCTGCAGTGAGCAAAGCAGAACCCAGTCTCTGCGTGGTGAGGTCCATCCAGTGTGGAGCTCAAAGGCGACATTGTTCTGCTCCTCTGTATAAAGAGAGCTGCCATGTTGCTCCCAGCACAGAGTTGAGGGCAACTCCAGACCTTCTTGCAAGATGCTGCTGATTCTGCTGTCAGTGGCCCTGCTGGTCCTGGGCTCAGCTCAGAGCTTAAGTGAAGGTAAAACAGAAGGGGGAGAAGATGCAGAGACTGTGGTTGGGGCTTAGGAGGTAATTAGTGGGAAGAGAGGAGAATGAAAACACAGATGGGGCTGCAGAGTTTTCATGCCTAGGATCAGGAGACCTGTTGTGTCATCATTCCACTCCAAGGGCTTCTAATTTATTTAATGTACAATGAAGATGCAATAAAAAATGTGTACCAGGGCAATGAGAATGTAAGATTTGCATTTATGAGAGATATGACTGTGCTGTGAAGGATGCAGTGGAGAATGCAGGACAGAGTCAGGGAAGTGCAGCTGTGAAGATCCTGTGCTCACCTCAGTAAGTGGACGGGGATGATGGTGGCCTTGCTGATGGCGGATCAGCATCGATGACGAAGGTAAACACACATTAGAGAAACTGCAGAGACAGAGAATTGGATAAAACACTTGTCTCCGTCTACCTAGAGATATAGAAATATCAGAGCCAATCATTGTCATTTTTCTCTCCCCTGCATGCAGTATTTCAATGTGCTGGGAGTGGTATGGGTAAGACTGTATTGAAATGATTACTTCTGATTACTCCTATTGAGAAAGCATATGGACATAAGCAACATATTTACAGGAGAATTAGGGCATGACAATACCGAAATATCACACTTAAGTGCCTGGCATGTGTAAAATACATTTGTATTAAGTCTTGAGGGATCCTAGGGAGGAAGAAAAGGGACACTTCTGTGTCAAGTTTGTGGCTGTTGCTCTGTGTAGTAACAACCTGCCTCCCCTTACACCTTCCTCCCCTTCCAGCAGCTTCACAGATGGTGGCTGATGAGTTAATGCAGGAAATGCATGGGGTGTGGTCAGAAGTCCCTTTTCCCTGCAGAACACCTGTGAGTCATGAAAGATTCCAGATGTAACTTTTCCCATCGTCTTGTGCTTCTCTTCTAGATGTCAGCCAGGAACAACCTCTCTCCCTAATATCAGGTAAATCCCAGTTCATTCTCAATCTGTTTTGACTCTCATTTTCTGCCTAGGAATTGATCAGTTCCCCAGTGGCTTCTTATCAACACTTTCCTTTCAGGAATTGATAAATGCCACTGCTCCAATGATACAGGCCATCTTCCTGCAACCTTGACTCTGGGGCCATGAGCAGGGCAACCACATTGAATGGCAGAGATGCTTGGCTTAGCTGACAACAGGAGTGGGTTGACCTTCCCCCAGGCCGCGAGTGCCTGATGGAAATGACAGACAAATGGGCAGCGTCCTCATTCTGACTCCTCCTTATGCTGAGAGCCCCTCAACTTCTTCCTTCTCCCCCAGCCTTCCACTCCAGAGTTCTATGGCTTTGCTGGAAATGCAAAGAAATTATTGTCTGGGTCCCATTTTCATGTGTTTCCCCACTCAGCTGTGTTATCATAGCTGATAAAACTGCCGCACTATTTGGTGAATCCTTTGTGGGCTTTTACTCTCTCTCTTCTCTCTCTTTATACTTGTTTACTTGGGTCTTGGGGCCAGGTGCCCAGGCATGGAGTTCAGTCAGCAAGTTATTGAGGCAGCTGGGATCATAACTGGCTGCTTGACTGATGTTTCTCTTCCTTTTATATTTTTCCCCATCTGGCGATTCTGACATTTCAAAGATCTTTTTGTAAATTTTTATTTTTTGGCTAACTTCTAATAGACATGCTTGTCCTAGACACAAAGAAATGAGACTTTTCATGAGATATGGATGAAAGGAACTCTGCCTATGAAAGCCTTGAGTAAAAGGGATGTTAGTGGTTGTCAGGCACGTTCTGGGAGAGAGGGACAGTGTGCTAAGGATAGAGAGGTATAAAGGGAGGAGGTTCTTCTATCACTGAACTTGGCTCTTCTGGTGTCACTTCACACAGATGGAGGAGACTCAAACCAGAGCTCAGAGGAGAAGCCTCAGAGACCACCTTTTGGAGGACACCCACCTAAGCCCCCTGCTGGTAATGGAAGCCAGGATGATGGGCCTCAGCATAGACCACCTCCACAAGAAGGCAACAAGATCCCCCACCTCCTCCAGGAAAGCCACAAGGACTACCCCCACTAGGAGGCCATCCCCAGAGGCCTCCCCCACCTCCTGCTAGAAAGCCCCAGGGACCACCTCCATTTCCTCAAGTGGGAAGACCACCCAGATCTCTTCAGGGACCACCCCCCAAGGGACCGCCTCCCCAAGGACCACCTCCCCAAGGACCACCTCCACCTCCTTAAGGGGGAAGACCACCCAGATCTCTTCAGGGGCCACCTCCCCAGGGGCGGCCTCCCCAAGGACCACCTCCTCAGGGGCCGCCTCGCCAGGTGCCACCTCTCCAGGGACCACCTCTACATCCTCAAGGGGGAAGACCACCCAGATCTCTACAGGGACCACCTCCCCAGGGATCTCCTCCACTTCAAGGGGGAAGACCACACAGATCTCTCCAGGGACCGCCTCCCCAAGGACCACCTCCCCAAGGACCACCTCCACCTCCTCAAGGGGGAAGACCACCCAGATCTCTACAGGGACCACCTCCCCAGGGATCTCCTCCACTTCAAGGGGGAAGACCACACAGATCTCTCCAGGGACCACCTCCCCAAGGACCACCTCCCCAAGGACCACCTCCCCAAGGCAACTGGAAATAGATGCCATACTATAATCCCATTCAGGAGAAGACTGTGAAAGACAGAAGTGAAGGTAAATCTTCCTAATGAACTGAAGTTCGGGTGATATGTCTGGTTGTTCACCTGACAGGAAGGATAAGCACTCAGAGAAGTAATCTAAATTGTCTCGTCAGAAATTAATAGGTGAGATGCCTTATCAGAAACTCAAAAAGAACAAAATGCAAAAATTAATGAGAAGCTAAGAGGTACATATAGAGATCATGCAGAAAGGACACGGAGTGTGTAAATATTTATTCCCATGTACATACTCACAAGTGACATCCAATGTTGAGGAGGAGATTGAATAACCAGGTGGACACAACATGTGTTGTGGGAAACAGTCACTTTCCCCAGATACTCTGGTGTTTAATCAACGAATTGATATTGAGTGGCCATGTAGCAGAAACAGAACCATTAGTGCGTGTGTGTGTGTGTGTGAGTTGTGTGTGTGTGAGTTGTGTGTGTGTGTGTGAGTTGTGTGTGTGTGTGTATGTGTTAAGTAATATATATACACATATAATAAGGAATGTGGTTATGGAGGCTGGTAAGTCAAAACTCTGCAAGTGGGCGTGGACACACTGGGTACCTAGGAAGGCTCGTGTTTCAATTCAAGTGCAAAGTCTATTTATTGTCTATAGAATCAGGAAAAGCCAATGCAATGTCGCAGATAAAGTCTGAAGGCCATTGCTGGAGAATTCTTTCTCACTCAGGGAAGATAAGTCTTTTTGCTCTATTCAAGCCTCCAATTGACTCCATGAGGCCCAATCACATTACAGCAAGGCAAATCTGCTTTACTCAAAGGCCACCAATTTAAATAAATATGAATCCCTTCCGAAAACACCCTCACAGAAATAAGCAGAATGATGTTTGATCAAGTATCTGAACTCTTTGCGGCTCAGCCAAGTTGGCACAAAATAAACTGTCACACCTACTGAAGGAAAATGTCAGGCATTTTCTGAAAAACAAACAAACAAATTAAAAAAGTTAAATTCTTTTAAAGTGATTTCTATTTTCACTAACTTGAGACTTGCTGATTATTTACTATTTTGTTCCATCTAACCATTGTTATTTGGAACCTACAAGTCAAATATGTCCCAAATAGCGAAATGGCTATTTTAACTTTTTTTAATTTAAAATTTGAATTTTTATTTACCTAGAAATTTGTTTTGTTTTGTTAGAGATTATTTGGTTTATTTTATTTTTTCTCTTACTTGATGATAAAAAATATGAAGGAAGGAAGTACATCTATCTTGTTCACCATTAAGTTTCTAATACACCGCATGCAAATGGCAGGTACACACAAGTCCATTTGTTGGAAAGAGTAGAACACACTAGCTAACTTTATGTTGAAATACACAGAATTATAGCCAAATATTAACAAGCTTATGTCCATTTTCATTTACCAACACATCCTGTGTGGTTTTAGACATCTAAGTCTGAATGAATTTTGACTATTTTTGGTCTTCCTTTTAGTCTCTTTTGGTATCTTGTGCTTAAGAGACATATCCAAGGTCAAGATTAGTTTCTATTTTCTTTGTGCTCTCTTCTGGATAATAATATATTAAACATTTGAAGAGATGGAGAATGAAGATGGATATATGATGCTGAATTTCAAGAATCATTGTAAATCCAAGCAGAAATCTAAAGGTAGGAATATTGCCCCCCAATCCCCCCATTTGGTTTGAAATTGCATTATTCTTCTAGGAAGAGAATTATCTATGAATATTTTAAACATCTTAAAATTGATCATAAGAAGAAATATAAAAATGGTCATAAATTGTCTGAGATAAATTATTTAGATTCATGAAAGCATCAACAATAAAAACACAGCATTTTCAGAGTCATGAGGTAAGAAAAATGCTAATATGATGATGTATAATCCTGCGTGTTGTAGCATAAGAAAGAGTATAACTTTCAAAGGAAAGGCTGAAAAATTGTGTTTTTACAGAAACTTCCTCCTACAAAACTTAAAGTTTATAGAAACACTTATCTTGGTATGGTATCTATGAAAACATGTTTCGTGAAGTTGCCTATTACAGTTGGAAGGTAAGATCTAGCGGTGGTGGTGGGAGTAACAGTGGTCCTGTAGTGTTTTACAGCTTAAAAAAGCATACATATATTAGTTTTAATTTTCATAAAAGCTCTATACGATTTGTAGAACAATCTACCAGGAATGAGAGAAGAGGGAGAAAAAAAAAACATTAATCTTTGCTCCTTAGGGCTGCTCTGTGGTTGGTTTTTGCTTTTTAAGGTCTGTTACAGGTTCTATAGACAAGTTTGATAAACAATATGCTGGTGCCTGAATTCAATTTGTCTAAAAGGAATTTTGAAAACAATCTTGTTGAAATAGTCAAGACCTAAGTTAAGATGACATAGGCCAGAAATTCAGAATTACCAGCCACAGTGGCAGTTCTGCCATATGTATCGAACATTCTGGCGTACTATCTCATTTTATATCTAGCAAATGCAACAACCCCCCCAAATGACACTTTTGTCATTATCTGAAGACTCAGGATCTTTTTGTGTTTTAATATAATGAAACAAATGTTTACTTTTTCAATAGTAACTTGCTTCCATGCAGCAAAAGCTAGTACCAATGGTATTAAATTGACTGAGTCAGGCCAGGCACAGTGGCTATTCCTGTAATCCCAGCACTTTGGGAGGCTGAGGCAGGTGGATCACCTGAGGTCAGGAGTTCGAGACCAGTCTGGCCAATATGGTGGAACCCTGTCTCTACTAAAAATACAAAAAACTAGCTGTGTGTCATGGCACATACTTGTAATCCCAGCTACTTGGGAGGCTGAGCAGGAGAATCACTTGAACCAGGGAGTGGAGGTTGCAGTGAGCTGAGATCATGCCACTGCACACCAACCTGGGTGACAGAGTGAGACTCTATCTAAAAAAAAAAAAAAAATTGAGTCCGACCCTATAACCCACAGACTAAATGTACAGCTCTGGGAAGAAGCATTTAGTCTTCTTAAATCTCAGTACATTGATTTATAATAAGAAAAATCTACCTAATGATGCTTTTATGTGGATGTTACACTAAATTTACTATTTTGAATCTGTAAACTACTTTTTTTTTTGGGTGGGGGAGGAAGGCAGGAAGGAAGGGAATAAGGATGGTAGGGAGGAAGGAAGGGATGAAGGAAGGAAGGAAGGGAGGAAGCGGGGAGGGAGGGAGGGAGGGAAGGGAAGAAAGGAAATCAAGCAATGAAAGAGACATTGCCGACCTGGATCTAGAGGTTTACAAGTTGATTTCTTTTTTTTTGAGAGAAGGAAAGAAAAAAAAAATAAGTAAAGGAGAGGAAGAAAGAGGAAGAGAAAGAGGGAGAGTAAATGGAAATATTGCTTTATTTTGAAAAAAATTGGGTATTAGTAATGGCCAATCAATGTTTCATTTAAACTAATGGGTAGGTGTGATGTGGTATTGACAAAAATGTATATTTTGTGTATTTGAAGTGGAGAGCTCTATAAATATTTATTAAGTAAACTACTTTTTAATACACAAATATGTACAGAGACTTAAAATCTGAGTATTGATGCGTAAAATATAATATCCATTTAAATTATGAATTAAGGATAGGGGCGGGAAAATAAATTGGGCCAGAAGGTTACTGTAGGCATGTTTGTTCTTGTCATACATTTGCTTCTAAGCTTCCTTGTTATTATTGAGATAAGGGAAGCCTGACTAGTTGTTCAATTCACATCGTGTATAAGATAAAGTGACATCTATTTCTTAAGATAGATATAATTAATCTTGATTCTAATTCAGAAAAAAATATTTTCCTGAGTTCTTATAAAGCACATAAAATAATACAATTATCGTTCTTGCAATAGCAGCATTAAAAGATTTTGAAGGGCAATTTCTTCATATAGCCCCATGTAAGCCAATGGCATGTAGCCTCGCATTGCTAGGACAGGCCAGCATACTGTGCTTCAGGCACTCAGCTCTCTGTTCACTGGCTTGATGTAGTATGTAAATCATGGCTCACATAAAAATATTAATTTTTGATCTATTAGGTTTTCTATAAATCTTCTTTGGCAAGAACGTTAAAGTCTCCCTCCCTGGCGTGTATGGAATATGCACTTGTTCTTTATTACCAGTTAACCGCCGAGCCATCTACCTATGACCGGTATTTCCTCATAAAATTACGGAAATGCGTTTTGGTGATTTTCAGTTAAGTAGAAGTCTTTCCATATTTCCTTGAACAGCAGAAATATCTACAGGTAGGAAAAAGAAAGAAACCTATTTTGGACTTAGTAGTACAGACAATTGAGTGGTAAATTTCAAAAGGTACACTACATACAGTAAATTCTCTGAGTATATGCTATAGAGCTAATCAGATGCGGTAAATCCATAAAACCTATCGAAATAAGGCATCCACACAGTAATTAGATATGGGAAACAGCACTTTTATTATGACGTAGAAGACGCGTTTTTTTGTGAAATGTACAACCAAGATGATGAAATTAAGGGCCTGCTTATAGATAAAATAATAAACACTAGGGAATAATTATCAGAGTATCTCAAATTACTTTGCTTTCTCTTTGACCACTAGCCTGGCAAATTGACTGGAATGATTCTAGACTGAGATACTAATCACATGTCTGCAGGTAAAAGGAACCTGTCATAATTTTGTGAAAAAAGTGTATACATCTAATTTATTCAAAGCTGCTAATATGTAGAAGAAAGTAGATAAAATTGAAAGAGGATAATAATAATATATATATATATATATGTTTCTGTTTACCCTCTCTAGAGGTTACTTGTTTATTCATCTGTAAGGAAACTATTCTTGTCAACTCTAATGCAATGAAATACTATAGCCTAGATTCCTTATAAGTATCACTAATTGGATCTAATACTGCCTAGGCTGAAACTGATTCCTGTCTAGAAAGCCAAATCCAGAAGAATATAAGGTATTACATGTATAAGGCGAACTGAATGTGAATATTCCCAGAACAGTGACTGGCGTATACTAGAACTTTAATAAATATTTTTTTCCCTCTTTTATTTCTTACAGTGAGTCACTAAATTGAATAAAACACATCATTGTGCCTGACATAGATGTATATTCTATATGTTATTCTTTCTATATAATTTACATATATAAAATAATGTATTATACACATTTACAGTGCATATATTTATATTTTATATATTGATATGTTGTAATAAATATATATAATTTATATAAATATATATCATATTTATTTGTATGTATACTATATGTGGAATTTAAGACATCATTTTTAGGTATTCAAAAGCACCACCAAATAATTAACAAAGCCATCTCAGTACAATTCAAAACATTAAATAATAGTAGTATCTCCTTGGCTTGGGATTATTGACTTTTTAAAATTTTCATTTCCTCATAAATTCTAATGATATATCCAAAATGATGAATCATCTCTGTAATAATGAAACAGAAAAATGTTTATAAAGTGAAAAATCACAAGAATTTAAAAATTCATGAAATAAAATTCAACATTTCAGATTTCTTCCTATGTCCACGATGTTACTGTCTTCTGCTCATGCTTGGATGCGTTGGGACCCTTATTTTCATTATGACAGTGACTGACCTGTTCTGGCGTGAGTAATAAATTTTTATTTCTTTGAACATTTTCAGAAGATAAACATTAATCCTTCATTCCTCTTAATGCCAAGATAAGATATACATTATAGCCCAAAATTGGTAAATTAAACAGACCAGCGGTATACGTCATATTATAAAATTATATTACATTTAAAAAATTAAATGCTTAAATGCAAAATTAGTATTTATTCTGCATCTTTCCTTATAAAGAGTCCTCAATAGAGCTTGACTTTATTATCTTATAATAAAAATTTTGTAAATTTTTTTTTTCTAAAAGAGTATATGCTCATTGGTATCACTTTGTGAGATCACTATTTAAATAGTTTTTCTAAGTCCCCTTTGAAAACCATTTTAGGTAGACTTCCAGACTTTTTTCTTCCTGAAGTGGTATTTATATGTGTATACTATTGCTATACTATTTGAACAACCAAAGAAATTCATAGTTTCTTTGATTTTTTTTGTCTTGCTTTTAAGGCTGTGAGCTAAAATGAGTACTGTCTTACATATAACATGATAGGAAATGGATTTTGGGGGCTTTTGAGATGAGATTTCCAAAAATAGGTGAGAAATCTCTTTTGAGATGAGATTTCCAAAAATACCCTAAAGCAACTTCTTTAGGGTAGAAGATTCTTTACTTCTCAGTAAGAAGTATTTTTGTATTGGGCAATTGGGCAATTTTGTGTTTTTCCTAATACAACAAGGGAAAATGTCAGACTTTTCTCGGACCACATATATATTCTACTTAATGTATTTTTTTCTCTGAATATCAATCATACACCTCAAATATGTTCAATGCTATATTGAAATCAATTACTAATAATCTGAAAATGCTCACTTAACATTCAGTGTTAAACAATTATTTTTTAGTTCTTATGAATCTATCTAAGTAAGTATTGCTTTCTGTTAACCAGAAATTCTAAGAAGTTGAATTCACTGTACTAATTATAATGGCTTTAAAAATGCTCCTAAAGTTTAGGAGTGGATAGTTGCTTGTTAGACACTGAGTATGATCTTTATAAACCAACATGCTCTTTTGTAAATCAGTTTTCTCTTCAACAAAGTATAAATGGTAAAATGACATAAGTGATGCAATTTTTTTTATAAAAGAAATGCAATTGGGAAGAAATCAGTAAAATTTGACATGTTGATAAATTACTAGTCAGAAAAATATTTTTTCTAGCCATATATTTTATTCTAATAAATTAGTAACAATTACAATATGTGTGTTTCAATAAAATTTGTCCTTGGATTTTGACCCGTTTAAAATTTTCCATGTCTTTCAGTCAAAATGGAGTATTGACCATGAATATTTATATCTCCTCTCTCCCAAGAATCTATCCGTAGAACAAGAAATGATAACAAAATAGAATAAATTAATCAAAGCCCATAGAATGGAAAGGGGAGAAAATTTTAAAGAAAGTGAAAGCTGGATAGAATAATGCTATTGGAGAGAACCTTAGTTAAAGCGTAAAAGACAGCTGCAGTGTAGATGGAAGCTGTTCATTATGGCTAAGCTCAGTCAGGGCTCCATTTCAGAGAGGAGAGTCAGAGGGTAAACGAAGGTCTAAAACAAGCTAATTCTTGAATACATACAATGCTTATTGGCAATTAAATTTAAAAATAAAATAACCTTTGAAACAAAAAGAAAAATGAAGCAAAGTAATTACGTGAAAGACTTTCTAAGCCATGCTCTTTTAAATTGGTGCTTTGTCAATCTGTTGGTCCATTTACACAGTGGCTTTTGCCCCTATATCATGCAAAAAATAAATAAATAAAATCAAAGAACTCTCTAAAACAGTGAGATATATAGATAGAGCTAGCTAGAGCTCCTGATTTATGGACTGTTGGTTGGTGCAATAAGATGTATACCCCTTTGTTTTGGTTCTGGAGTGAGAGAGGGGAGTAGCGTATAGGTCTACTATGTAGCCTGGCTATTTCTTGTGCCCTTTCTTCTGAAAATTCATGGTAGCTAACCAAATATCCCAGAGCATAGAGAAAAATGTCAGGGAAAAAACCCACAAATAAATATAAGAGGCTATCTGAGACAGAAAACCAAAATTCACCTGTTTATCCAGGAAGGTCAATAGCTCTTTTAACGAATTTCCAGAAGAAGAAAATAAGTGGAAAAAAAAAGTAGACATAAAATAATGAAAAAGTAATTAAACCATTTTTCAAGAGTAAAAGGGAAATCAAAAAACTGAGTTTTCAGCTTATAAGAACCCACTAAGTTCAGGACACCAAAATAGATAATGCATAGAAAGAGATGACAGATAGATAGATAGATGATAGATAATTTCAGAACACTATGAATAAAAACATAATCCTAAAGGAAAGTTTTACATAAATAATTAGTTTTCCCCCAAAGCAAATTAGCATCAGTTTTGCATTATTATTTTTTGAGACAGAGTTTCATTCTTGTTGCCCAGGCTGGAGTGCAATGGTGCTATCTCAGCTCACTGAAACCTCTGCTTCCAGGATTCAACTGATTCTTCTGCCTCAGCCTCCTGAGTAGGAGACTTACAGGCATGTGCCACCATGCTGGCTACTTTTGTATTTTTAGTAGAGACGGGGTTTCTCCGTGTTTATTGGGCTGGTCTCGAACTCCCGACCTCAGGTGATCCACCTGCCTTGGACTCCCAAAGTACTGGGATTACAGGCATGAACCACCGCTCCCAGCCAGCATCAGATTTTTAAAAGTACCTAAAAACACTCTACTGCACCAATATCTTCAAAGTTATTAGCAATCTTGATTTTAACTTAGAATTAAAGTAAGAGTAATCAGGTAAATATTTTTCCTAGTCATTCTTTCGGAAAAACAATAGCAAAAAAGAACATGGGAGGTAGGTGGCTAACTTTAGATAGCATGAAGCTAGCCCCAGAATACAATTAAAAGACTTTTCAAATTAACAACTGGTCTGTGTTCCTAGCCAGCAATGAATTCTGTCCATATGAAAAAAAACTGTAAATAATGTAACTAGGAAGGTGAAGGAACTTGATGATATGGTCAAAAGGTTTCTTTTTGTCTGCAACAAGGATAAATAAGATCAAGACTAGGTGCTGGAGCTCATACCTGTTAAGAACATCAATTTAGAAGACCATGAGAAGAGAAAATAATATACAAAAATGTAACATCATATATGAAGTCTAAGATTGCACATATTATTTAGAATTGTGATTTGCACTTAACGGAGTAAAAACAGATACAGTGAAAAGTAGTTGAATCTGGGGAAGAAGAGTGGACGCAAAGGAGAAGAGAAACTCACCATTTCTATTAGTGTGCCTCCATTTTGTGCTGGTATTTTATTCTCATGTATCTAGATTGCTTTTAATTTTTAATGTTTCTCATATCTTTTCTTTGCACTGAGTACAGATAAAAAAATGGATTTCTCTCAGAATGTAAATATCAGCAGTCTATCAGGTAATGCTCTTTTTGTTTGTTATGTGCTACTCTTAGGGATAAATGTAGTTTTGACTTCCCTCTTCCTGCATTCACTCATGTTACACACTAAGCCAACAGCTCTGGTGAAGAAAGGTATGGGACTGAAAAGGACATCCTCTTCCTCAGTGCCACTTCTGCATGTCAAATGGTTGAAAGGAAGGAGGGTTATGGTGATTTCCAGAGGAAGAAAATAGGGTTTTTTTCTAGTGAGTCATCAACAGGATGATAGTGGATTTCCTGCCATACATAACTTGCCACATATTTATCAAGCAGCCAATGATAGGTGTGGTGTGTAATGGCTGTGGGCTGTAGTGGGAAGCGTGTGGGCTTGGGATAGACCTATCTTTGAATCAAGAGATTTCAGCCAAATGGTCACATGAATTTAGGCAAATTAAACATTAGTTTTTTAAATTTTCAAATGGGAATATTATAATAATAACTATATCACAGAATGTTTCATGTAGATTGAACAAACTGTGATGATTAATTTTGTGTGTCAACTTGGCTAGGCCATATACCCAGACGGTTTGTGAAATACCAGCCTAGATGTCACTGGGAAGATATGTTTTAGATGAAATCGGATTTTACATTTGTAGATTTTGAATGAAATGGATTATCTTCCATAATGTGGGTTGGTCTTATTCAATCAGCTGAGTCTTAGAAAAACTACTAAGGTCTCCAAAGGAAGAGGGATTTTGACCTCCAGACTGCCTTCAGGCTGAAGACATAATACCAATTTTTCCTTTCAGACTGAAGATATAATATCAAGTTTTTAACCTGATGGCCTGTTCTATACATTTTGGACTTGCCTGCCCCCCCAATTACATGATCCAATACCTTAAATCTCTCAATCTCTCTCTCTCTCTTTCTCTCACACACACACCATTGGTTGTGGCTAAGAACTCTGACTAATACACTAGTACAGTGTGGAGGCAGTATAGTGCAGTGGATAAGAACATAGGCTATACATAAAAAAGGATGAGTTTCTGCCCTTTGCAGGGACACGGGTGAAGCTGCAAACTGTCATTCTCAGAGAACTGACACAAGAACAGAAAACCAAACAGCACACGTTCTCACTCATAAGTGGGTGTTGAACAATGAGAACACATGGACACAGGAAGGGGAACATCACACACTGGAGCTTGTTGGGGGGTGGGGGAGGTTAGGGGAAGACAGCAGGGGGTAGGGGGATTGGGAAAGGCTAACATTAGGAGAAATACCTAATGTAGATGATGGGGGGATAGATGTAGCATGCCACCATGACGTGTATTCCTATGTAACAAACCTGCACTTTCTGCACATGTATCTCAGAACTTAAAGTACAGTAACTAAAAAAGAGAAAAAAGGAACATAGGCCGTAGAACGAAACTAGCGGGGTTAGAACTTCAGTTCTGATAGTTATATGTTTGTATCAGTACATAGAGTTAAACAATCTCTATATACCTCAATTTCTTCATCAGTAAATTGGGGGTAATAATGACACCTACTTAATAAGGTTTTATTTTATTATATACTTAAATTTTTATTGTATAAATATAAATGAAAGTAGAGTGAATTATATAATAAATCTCCTTGTACCTGTTTGAAAGGTACAATATTTCCATCACCACATCAATATTTTCCATCTATATCTCCACCATCATCACTCCCCCAAGCTAGATTATATTAAAATAGTGACTAGATCTCATACCATTTAATATTTAAATACTTCTGTATGTGAATCTTATAGCTAAAGATGCCTTTTGCTATGACACAATCACAATATCACTGCAACTCCTGCATTTGGTTTTGATTGGTGTATAACAAATTACCACACACTCAGCAGTTTAACAACATATACTTGTTACCACCCAGTTCCCAAGAGTTGGGAGTCACGGCCCAGTTTAATTAAGTCCTCTGTTCAGGGTCTCACAGGGAGTGCGGTGTAAATGTGATGCCGGCCAGACAACCCATATTTCTAGAGCTGAGGTTCCTCTTCCAAGCTCTCTCTTATGGTGTTGGAACAATTACGTGTGGTTGTTGGATACAGGTTATCACTTTCTTCCTGGCTTTCATCCATAACTCCTCTAAGCTTCTGGAGACCTCTGTATTTCTTTGCCATGTGTCTCTCTCATACACCTTCTTGAAACATGGAAGCTGAATTCTTTAAAGGCAACATTCTCTCTCTCTTCAGGGAAGGCTTCAGCCCTCTTTCACTCTTTCAAGGATTTACATCTGATTAAGTCAGACCTACTTGGGATAATCTTTCTATAGATTAACTCAAAATCAACAGACTGGGGACCCTTCTTTTGTTTTGTTTTCAAAATCCTGTCATCTTGCTATCTAATATAACCTGATTATGTGAGTGACATTTCATCATATTCACAGTCTTACCCAGAGTCACGAAGGAATTACAAAGGTCATGTGCACCAGAGGCTGACTCTAAGGGGCCATTTTGGAATTCCGTCTACAACAATTCCTAACAAAATTAGAAATAACTTCTTAATATCCTCTAATAGTTAGCATTAAATTGTCTTTCTTTTCTTTTCATTGGATTTCTAAGAATTATAATCAAAGACTTTAATTGCATTTGGTTAATATGCCTCTTGAATTTATAGATCATTTATAGAATATGCCTCTTTTTATTTAGAGATCCTTGTCTCCTCCTTTTGTTTGTTCTTTGCCATTTATTTGTCAAAAGGTAGGTCATGGTTGGGCATAATTTTTTATATTCTGATTTTTCCTTTTCATACTTACCTGGTGTCATTTAACTCTACAAAGTTATTTTAAAAACTGAATGTAGATAAGGTGCTTAGAAACTTGCCTGGCCCGCAAACTTGTATGTGTATGTTGTTATTATTATGTAAAGCCTCTAAGAGAGTAATTGATGCAAAGTGCTGTTCAATAAATACTTTTCTCTATTTTCATCCTGTATTTCTTCTTCTTATAGAAGACAGCACTTAAAGCTGAGTCACCCACAATAACTCTTTTGGACGGTTAGCCTCCACACCATGCCACACTCATCATTTGGAGTATTTTAATTGTGTTTTGCAGCACTGCAGTAATACTGCATTGACCAGTCTGTCAATATCGACATAATAAAATTATTTCATCTAAATGACACTTTCTCACTAATAATTGTGAATAAATATCCCCTCTCAAATTGTAACTTGAGAGGTATATTAGAGGTCATTTTATACCTTTTAGCAAACAGCTATATGTTTGTACAACTGAAATTACAATTCAGTTATCCTGGATCTTTTCACAATTTTTTTAAATGATAATTTTTTCAGCATTGGCAACACTTACCCTGATATAGCATGCATTAATGAGTTAAGAATATACATGAAGTTTCATAAATCTATATTTAGGTCATAATAACCTTCTTCAAGTTATACCTGCTCAGGTTACTTTTTAAAGCTTGGATGGACATATAATTTAATTTCCAAAATTAATTTTTAAATGAAATTTTAGGCTTATAGTTGACATACTAAAATATTAACAATGAAAATATTACATGCTTTAACTTAAAATATTTAATCCAACCATTCAACATTCAACAACAATTGTTTATTACATACAAAGTGTTGAATGATAAGAATCCAAAGATGAATATGATGGTCCCCCCTCACAAACCTTTCAATCATGTGGAAGATATGGAGATGTTTACAAGTGACTAGGATGTAAACTATTTGTCCTTTGCTTTAGCAAAGATATCATTTATGATACCTAAGTATTGAGTTTTACAGACAGCAGAAATTGACTGGTTCAAGGCTTCCTTTTTGAGGTGGAAATATAATTGTACATTAAAGAAAAAGTTAGCAGGTAAAGAAGGAAGAGGAGGCTATTTAAGACTAAGGTAACAGTATGAATGAAAAGCACAGGAGAATAAATACCCAATGCATCAGTAATTGTAAGTAATCTCACAGACATGAAATACAGGTTGCAAAGACAATCTTGAAATGTCAAAGGACTTAGAACCAGATAGTGGAAGAAATTAAACAATAAGCTTTTACTTTTTCAGTTGGTAATTAACTGTCAAAAATGTTATAATTTGCTTCCTCTGATTATGGGGATCAGAATCCACAAAGTTTGTTCTCACCTACTCCATCATCCAAAACCCTGTCCAACTCCAGGAAATAGATAGGTTAGTAAATTATTCTCACTTTATAGAACTGCTTCTGTCATGACAAAAAATGAGTTGGAAAAATCTATTTTCGAAGAAATCACATTTGATAATATTTGTATCTTCCCAATTGGCTATAAAGTTTAATTAATTTTCCCCTGTGTTTTCTTCAGGACATAATTATTTGTGCCCAAATGACTGGCTGTTGAACCAAGGGAAATGTTACTTTTTTTCAACTTCTTTTAAAACGTGGAAAGAGAGTCAACGTGATTGCACACAGCTACAGGCTCATTTACTGGTGATTCAAAATTTGGATGAGCTGGTGAGAAATCAAAAACAGGATCTAACTGCACAAGGAAAACTTGCTAGGTGCAGGTTCACTGTCTAGGAAGCACGGGAGGGGCTGGGCGCCGTGGTTCACGCCTGTAATCCCAGCACTTTGGGAGGCCGAGGCATGCGGATCACGAGGTCAAGAGATCGAGACTATCCTGGCCAACATGGTGAAACCCCGTCTCTACTAAAAGTACAAAAGATTAGCCAGGCGTGGTGGTGCATGCCTGTAGTCCCAGTTACTCGGGAGGCTGAGGCAGGAGAATTGCTTGAAATCGAAAACGGAAGTTGCAGTGAGCCGGGATCGGGCCACTGCACTCCAGCCTGGCGATAGAGCGAGACTCTGTCTAAAAAAAAAAAAAAAAAAAATGAAGAAAGAAGCATGGGAGGTCATTGCTTTTGAACATGCGTTAGCCATAAGGTAGTTACTATTGTTTATGAAAATGCTAATGTATATAAAATATATTTTATTAATGCCTGGCACAAAGATTTACTCTGTAGAAGATATCAAAATTTGTTTAAACAAATGAATGAATAAATAAACCATTTTCTCTGCAGAAGTTCATACAGAACAGTTTAAAACCTGGGTATTTTGGTTGGATTGGATTACATGTTACAACCCAAGGAAACCTATGGATGTGGATAGATGAACGCTTTTTAGTTCCACAATTGTGAGTAGTTATTTGTAAGGGAGGGGTGATAATGTTTATTGATAGAGTTATTTATAAAATTACGCTTCCTTACTTTCCATTCTTTTTGTCCTTCTTTCTCCATTTTCCCTCATCTTTAATTTTGTTTTCTTTTTTTTCCTTTCTAGCTCTCTTTTTTCCTTCCCCCTACCTTTTGTTTTTTTACTTCTTCTCTTCTTTTATATTAACTGATTTTGAAAACTGGGGATGGAAAGCATTTGTCTCCTGGCATTTTAATTGTCCAAAATTCATAATAATTTTTAAATTTCTAAACTGATTTAAATCTCATTTGAAATAATATTATGCAAATCTTTTTATGTGGTAAATGCAAAGACAAAATTCGCCTGTAAATAAAAGCAGCTGGAATATGTAGAAAGGTCTAAAGTTGAAATCAGAAAACATGAATGAAAAAATTTTGGCCTTCAGAAATTCAACTAAACATGTTGATGTTCCTTCCTTCCTTCCTTCCTTCCTTCCTTCCTTCCTTCCTTCCTTCCTTCCTTCCTTCTTCCTTCCTTCCTTCCTTTTTTCATCAGAGCCTTGCTCTGTGGCCCAGGCTGGAGTTCAATGGCATGATCATAGCTCACTTGATAATGCAACCCTTCCACCTCAGCCTCCAGAGTAGCTGGGACTACTGGTGTGTGCCAATACACCTGGCTAACTTTTTGTGTGCTTTGTAAAGATGGGTTTTCTCCATGTTGCCCAGGCTGGTTTCCATCTCCAAACTATCACCCACCTCAGCCTCCCAAAGTGCTGAGATTACAGGTGTGAGCCACCACTCCCAGCCTGATACCTGTATATCAGTATAAAAAGAACAATGGTACTTTCTTTACATTGTTCTTATGTGAACAACATGAGGTACTGCATGTAAGAGTGCTTTAAAATTCTGAAGTGTCACATTTAGACATTTTCTTCTGTACTTTCATTTACTAGTCATATTGCCAGAACATTTGAGATGTGGTAAAAGCAAAGATTGTGGAGTGATAGTGCATTTCAGTTGATAGCTATCTACTTCAGTACATCTATTCTATGTTTATTATCATCCTTCATAAACATAAAACGAACGTATGAAGTTGTATCCATTTCCTGGACCTGCTTTTAATACAATCTTTGAAAAATAAGTAATATTTCTTACTAATTTTTATTATGATTTATATTATTTTTATGTTTTTTACTTTTTTGGAAACTAGTATTACTATAAAGGTAACGTATCCCTTTTAAAAGCTTTTATCTTACCATTTAAGGGAAACAACACACATGCAGGTGGTTATAATAGTGTTCAGTTTGTATTTTCTTAAATTATCACTAGTAACTAGAAAAAATAGTTTATGAAATAGCTCTCTTCAAAGTCATTCCATACATACATCGTGCATCGTCCTACCTTAGATTGTGGAAGTTATGTAAGAAATTTAAGAGTCATCCAATAGGTTTCACTTTGACTTAAACAAAATCCTGGGTGGCCGGCTGCCTCCCAACTCACATTGTCATAGCGTATCTATCATTGTGTAGTTTTTTTTTTTTTTTTTTGAGACGGAGTTTCGCTCTTGTTACCTAGGCTGGAGTGCAATGGCGCGATCTCGGCTCACCGCAACCTCCGCCTCCTGGGTTCAGGCAATTCTCCTGCCTCAGCCTCCCGAGTAGCTGGAATTACAGGCACGCGCCACCATGCCCAGCTAATTTTTTCTATTTTTAGTAGAGATGGGGTTTCACCATGTTGACCAGGATGGCCTCGATCTCTTGACCTCGTGATCCACCCGCCTTGGCCTCCCAAAGTGCTGGGATTACAGGCGTGAGCCACCGCGCCCGGCCCTATTGTGTAGTTCTTATTGGAAACATTTATTTTGGCATTACTTACTATACACAAAATTATTTGTGCTGCTATATGGAAAATGAATAGATGGGAGACAAAATGGAAACTACGGAGGTCAGTTCGAAGGCTATGACTAGAGATGAGGGAGAGATAATGGTAGCTTGAGTCTAAATTGAGAAGCTGGGAGAAGTGAATGGATAGAAGGGATAATCTGGAAATAGAATACTCAGGTCTTGCAGGTACATACGATGAGAGCTTTGAGAGGTGAGGAAGAAGCCGGGATGTCTTCTAGTCTAGCTTGAGCTTGCACGGCGTTGTTACTAAGATAGGAGAGAGGAGAAGAGGCTGCATCAGCAATGAAAATTCCATTCTAAAACATGTGCAAAATGTTGGCTGCTGAAGAATTACTTATAAAAGTTTGGCTGGGGAAAACTTTAAAAGATACTAACATCGGGCTGGGCACAGTGGCTCATGCCTGTGATCCCAGCGTTTTGGGAGGTCAGGAGATCGAGACTAACTGGGCCAACATGGTGAAACCCCGTGTCTACGAAAAATATAAAAATTAGCTGGGTTTGGGAGCATGTGCCTGTAATCTCAGCTTTTGGGAGGCTGAGGCAGGAGAATGGCTTGAACCAGGGAGTGGAAGGTTGCAGTGAGCTCAGATGCCACTGCACTCCAGCCTGGCGACAGAGTGAGACTCCATCTCAAAAAAAAAAAAAAAGATACTATCATCATTTTAAGATAGACGCTCAAAAATTTATTCTTTATCTTTAGGTTTTCAGTGATTGGACCAACTGATGACAGGAGCTGTGCCGTTATCACAGGAAAGCAGGTGTATTCTGAAGACTGTAGCTCCACATTTAATGGCATTTGCCAGAGAGATGCAATCTTGACACACAATAGAATCAGTAGTGTGTAAATGTGCAACAAAATGTAGAAATACTTTACATGTTAAAGCAGAGCCAGATTTTAAAGACTTGGGTTTTTTTGGGTAGTTTCTAAAAGAACGTTTCTGCTAACAGACACCATCTAAAAAGAAGAAAAGTATTTCGTCCTAAATTGACTATTAAGACAACTTCTGAACAGAACTTTTACTCCATACTTGGATTTTTGTTTTGTCTTTTCCATGGCTGTGCAATAAAAGCTAAATAAAAAGGTAACAGTTATTTAACAGTTTCATACTTTTTGCATTTAAAATAGCATAGAATAAGACTTTAAAGGAATGTTATTTAACTATATGTGCTGTGTAATAGATGAGAAGGAAAGAAGCAACATATGTATAAATATAATCGAAGCATGGAATAATTGTGAATTGTTCATTTGTGCATTGTAGCCTGAAGTGCTTGGTGGGGAGTAGGTGTTGAGAAATAACCTAATTGGTATCATGCGAACTAATCAGGTGATGGATAAACTGAAGGCTCAGACTTCACCACTATGTGATACATCTATGTAACAAAATTATACTCGTACCCCTTAAATTTATACAAATAAAATAAAATAAAGTCATGTGGCCAAATATTTAAACAACAGAAAAGAATAAAAGCAAATCTGTGCATGTAAATAAAGAATTGAAAGAAATATGTATGGATGTTAACAGTGACTATTTTTTTTCCTTTAGTGAAATACAAATGTATTTAATTTTCAATCCAAATATAAAATGTTAACATAATGCTTTTAAATAAAAAAATACAATAACTCATTTTTATTTTTAATACATTTATTCTTTAAAGCTTTATTGAGGTCAAACTGATATACAAAATGTTGCACATACTTAATGTATACTTTCTGGTGAGTTTGTATATACCTGAGGTGCCATCACCACATCTAAGGTACTAAACATATTCATCACCTCCAAATATGTCCTTATGGTCTTTGTGTCTACCTGGTTTTAGTTTTATAAGAACACAACATGAAATATAATTTCTTAATTTTTCTTTTTTTGGAAATGGAGTCTCGCTCCATTGTCCAGGCTGGAGTGCAGTGGTGTGATCTCAGCTCACTGCAACCTCCACCTCCTAGATTTAAGCAATGCTTATGCCTTAGCTTCCCGAGTAGCTGGGATTACAGGCATGTGCCACCATGGCCAGCTAATTGTTGTATTTTTAGTAGAGACAAGCTTTCACCATGTTGGCCAGGCTGGTCTCAAACTCCTGATCTCAAGTGATCTGCCCACTTCTGCCTCTCAAAGTGCTGGGATTATAGGCATGAGCCACCATGCCCAGCCTCTTATAGAACTTACTCATCTTGCATCAGTGAAACTTTCTGTGCTTTGAGCAACAATTTCCCATTTCCCTTCCCTCTAGCTCCTGGAAACTAGCATGCTATTCTCTGTTTCTGGGGGTTTAATTTTTAATGTAAAACCAAAAAACCTTATTTTTCAGTATACTAAAAAATTAAATTTAATCTCATTCTGTCACTTTTTCTATGTGATGCAGGATTTTTGTGACTTAATTGAGCTAAAATCCAGGTTCTTGTCACACAACCAGGAAAAATTAGGCACATGGACACATTGAAAGGTGAGGAGAGCAGAATTTATTAAAAGAAAGTGCTCAGAAAAAAAAAAGTGGAGGGAGGCATCCTGCCAACAGTCCCAGCTGGCATATTGAATACGAGGCCACCACACATGCAAGCCAAAGAGGCCAGGCTCCCCTACCTGCATAAGGTTTGAATTCCTGGTAGCTCCACCCCATTCTCCCAGTGTGAAAGCAGGCCCCCAGTCCATTTTGTGCAGGATCCCTCATCTGCACAAAAGCATCTGATATAAACACTTTTGGGGTGGGTCAGAGATCGTCTGAGGCTCCTCTCTTATCTGCCTCCTTCATCTATCACATGTGTTTTCTATTCCTTGGATTTTAACTCCTTCTAAGCATTTGGTGGAATAATAGACCAGGCACGTGACTATAGTCATGCCGTTTCTTTGTTAAAGTCTCTCATTATTATAGTGTGGGAGTCTAAGTCTCTTTGTAGGTCTCTGAGAACTTGCTTTATGAATCTGGGTGATCCTGTGTTGGGTACATATATATTTAGAATAGTTAGCTCTTCTTGTTGCGTTGATCCCTTTACCATTACGTAGTGCCCTTTTTTTTTTATCTCTTTTGCTCTTTTTTGGTTTAAAGTCTGTTTTATCAGACTAGGATTGCAACTCCTGCTTTTTTGTGTTTTCCATTTGCTTGATAAATATTCCTCCATCCCTTTATTTTGAGCTTATGTGTGTCTTTGCATGTGAGATGGGTCTCCTGAATACAGAACACCGATGACTATTGACTATATCTTTTAATTGGGGGCATTTACTCCATTTACATTTAAAGTTAATATTTTTATGTGTGAATTTGATCCTGCCATCATGATGCTAACTGGTTGTTTTGCCCTTCAGTTGATGCAGTTTCTTCATAGCATTGATGGTCTTTACAATTTGTAATGTCTTTGCAGTGGTTGGTACTGGTTGTTCCTTTCCATGTTTAGTGCTTCCTTCAGGAGTTCTTGTGAGGTAGGCCTGGTGGTGAGAAAATCTCTCAGCAGCTGCTTGTTCATAAAAATTTTATTTCTCCTTCGCTTATGAAGCTTAGTTTGGCTGGATATGAAATTCTGGATTGAAAAATTCCTTTCTTTAAGCATGTTGAATATTGGCCCCCACTCTCTTCTGGCTTGTAGGATTTCTGCCAAGAGATCCACTGTGAATCTGATGTGCTTCCCTTTGTGGGTAACCCAACCTTTCTCTCTGGCTGCCCTTACCATTTTTTCCCTTCATTTCAACGCTGGTGAATCTGATGATTATGTGTCTTAGGGTTGCTCTTCTTGAGGAGTATCTTTGTGGTGTTCTCTGTATTTCCTGAATTTTAATGTTGGCCTGCCTTGCTAGGTTGGGGGAGATCTCCTGGATAATATCCTGAAGAGTGTTTTCCAGCTTGGTTTCATTCTCCCGGTCACTTTCGGGTACACCAATCAAACGTAGATCTGGTCTTTTCACATAATCCCATATTTCTTGGAGACTCTGTTCATTTCTTTTCACTCTTTTTTCTCTAATGTGTCTTCTAGCTTTATTTCATTGAGTTGATCTCAATCTCTGATATCCTTTCTTCTGCTTGACTGATTGAAACCTGTATATGCTTCATGAAGTTCTCGTGCTGTGTTTTTCAGCTCCATCAGGTGGTTTATGTTCTTCTTTACATTGGAGAAATTTGTTATTACCCACCTTCTGAAGCCTGCTTCTGTTAATTTGTCAAACTCATTCTCTGTCCAGTTTTGTTCCCTTGCTGGCAAGGAGTTGTGATCCCTTGGAGGAGAAGAGGTATTCTGGGTTTTGGAATTTTCAGCCTTTTTGCACTGATTTCTTCCCATCTTCGTGGATTTATCCACCTTTGGTCTCTGAAGTTGGTGATCTTTGAATGGGGTCTCTGAGTAGACATTCCTTCTGTTGATGTTGAAACCATTTCTGTTCCTTAGTTTTCCGTCTAACAGTCAGGCCCCTCTGCTACAGGTCTGCTGGAGTTTGCTGGGTCTGGTCAACTCCAGACTCTGCTTGCCTGGGAATTACCAGCAGGGGGCTGCAGAAGAGCAAAGATCACTGCCTGTTCCTTCCTCTGGTAGCTTCATCCCAGAAGGGCATCCCCAAGATGTCAGCCAGAGCTCTCTGTATTAGGCATCTGTTGGCCCCTGCTGGGAGGTATCTCACAGTCAGTATCCATGGGAGTCATGGAGCCACTTGAGAAAGAAGTCTGTCCATTATCAGAGTTCAAACACTGTGCTGGGAGATCTACTGCTCTCTTCAGAGCTGCCAGGCAAGAATGTTTAAGTCTGCTGAAGCTGTACCCACAATCATCCGTTTTCCCATGTGCTCTGTCCCAGGAAGGTGGGGGCTTTATTTATAGATCCCTGACAGGCTGCTGCCTTTTTTCAGAGATGCTCTGCCTCATGAGGAGGGAGTCTAGTGGCACAGCCTGCCTTCAGAGGCCTTGCTGAGCTGCTGTGGGCTCCATCTAGTTTGAACTTCTCAGCAACTTTCTTTAAACAGGTGAGGTTAAAACCACCTACTCAAGCATCAGCAATAGCAGATGCCCCTCCTCCCACTGAGCTCAAATGTCCTAGGTCCAGCTCAGACTGCTGTGCTGGCTGTGAGAATTTCAAGCCAGTGGATCTTAGCTTGCTGGTCTTTGTGGGGGTGGGACCTGCTGAGCCAGATCACTTGGCTCCCTGGCTTCAGCCCCCTTTCCAGGGGAGTGAACAGTTCTGTCTCACTAGTGTTCCAGGTGCCACTGGGGTATGGAAAAAAAAACCGGTGTGACTAGCTTGATGTCTTCCCAAATGGCTGCCCAGTTTTGTGCTGGAAACCGAGGGTCCTGGTGTTGTAGGCACTGGAGGGAATCTCCTGGTGTGCAGGCTGTGAAACCATGGGGAAAGTGCAGTATCTGGGCTGGAGTGCAGGGGACAGTCCTTAATGGCTCCCCTTGGTTAGAAGAGGGAGTTCCCCAACCCACTGCACTTCCCAGGTGAGGGGATGCCCCACCCTGGCTGAGATCACCCTCCTTGGGCTGTACTCACTGTCTCACCAGTGCCAATGAAATGAATCAGGCACCTCAGTTGCAAATGCGGCAATCACCTACCTTCTGCAGTGCTCTCACTGTGAGCTGCCCACTGGAGCTTTTCCTGTTTGGCTAGCTTGCCAACAATCCCTCTAGTAGCTTTTCTTTTTATCTGAGAAGTGTGATAGTTATTTTCAAGCTTTTTTGATGGGGGGGATGGTGGGGAGGTTGGGGAGGGATAACATGGGGAGAAATGCCAGATATGGGTAGCAAGGGATGGAGGCAGCAAACCACATTGCCATGAATGTACCTATGCAACAATCCTGCATGATCTGCACATGTACCTCAGAACCAAAAGTTTAAAAAAAAATTAGAAAAACAACTTTCACTGAAATAAAAATTAAAATAAAATAAAACTATTTATGTCTGCTGCAAATCCATTTGATATCAATAAGTCCTCTGGAACTATGGACTCCATCAGCACTCAGGAAAGCATAGGATCCATTCCCTGTAATTTCAAACCTGAAAAAGAACAGTCTAAATCAGTCTGGAAATCACTTACAGCTGTAATCAAAAAGACAATTAAGAATAGAATGATATGAAATATACCAAACAGTGAGTTCCCAGAAAATATACCCACCCATCTTCATATGCTACATTAAAATATCTGGCATACTAAGGGAAATTAAGACTGAATATAAGTGTTTTAAGTGTTTGTTAAAGTTAAGTGTTTTAAGTGTTTGTTTGTTAAGTGTTTGTTAAGAGTTAAAAATCTGTCACCCTATTTAAAACAATTTGTAGATAGGCAGACAGACACATATAGATATACAAAGACAGGGGCAAAACTGTTATTTCCTTCCTTCCTTCCCTTCCTTCCTTCCTTTTCCTTTCTTTCCTTCCCTTCCTTCCCTTCCTTTCTTCCTTCCTTCCCTCCCCTCCCTCCCCTCCCCTCACTCCCTCCCCTCCCTCCCTCCCTCCCTCCCTCCCTCCCTTCCCTTCCTTCCCTTCCTTCCTCCTCCTTCCTTCCTTCCTTCCTTCCTTCCTTCTTTCCTTTCTTCCTCTCTATATGGAAAGAAAGAGAGTGTTTGCCAAATTCAAAGATCTCTGAAATTAAAAAAAAATCAGTTTTCTTGCCTAATTTTAGTAGATGTACTTTTTCAAAAAGTAAAAATAAGATTTATATTTACTTGGTACTTTTGAAACATACTGCAGTAGAAACTTAAGAGACTGCTTACAATATTTTTTTGCATTTAATCTTCATGGATAGGAAAAATCAATATCATGAAAATGGCCATACTGCCCAAAGTAATTTATAGATTCAATTCAATTCCCATCAAACTACCACTGACATTCTCCACAGAATCAGAAAAAAATTACTTTAAATTTTATATAAAACCAAAAAGGAGTCCATATAGCCAAGAAAATCCTAAACAAAAAGAATGAGCTGGAGGCATCACATTACCTGGCTTCAAATATGCTACAAGGCTGCAGTAACCAAAACAACATGGTACTGGTACCAAAACAGATATATAGACCAATGGAACAGAACAGAGACCTCAGAAATAGTGCCACGCATCTACAACCAGCTGATCTTTGACAAACCTGACAAAAACAAGCAAGGGAAAAATAATTCCCTATTTAATAAATGGTGCTGGGAAAACTGGCTAGCCATATGCAGAAAACTAAAACTGAATCCCTTCCTTACATATTACAGAAAAATTAACTCAAGATGGATTAAAGACTTAAATGTAAAACCCCAAACCATAAAAACCCTAGAAGAAAACCTAGGCAATGCCATTCACGACATGGGCATGGGCAAAGAATTCATGACTGAAACACCAAAAGCAATTGCAACAAAAGCTAAAATTGACAAATGGAATCTAATTAAACTAAAGAGCCTCTGCACAGCAAAAGAAAGTATCATCAGAGTGAATAGGCAACTGACAAAATGGGAGAAAATTTCTGTAATCTACCCATCTGACGAAGGTCTAATATCCAGAATCTACAAGGAACTTAAACAAATTTACAAGGAAAAAACTATCAAAAAGTGAGCAAAGTATATAAACAGCCACTTCTCAAAATAAGATATTTCTGCAGCAGACAAACATATAAAAAAAAGCTCAGCATCACTGATCATTAGAGAAACGCAAATCAAAACCACAATGAGATACCATCTCATGCCAGTCAGAATGGCAATTATTAAAAACTGAAGATAATCCCAGCACTTTGGGAGGCCGAGGCGGGTGGATCACAAGGTCAGGAGATCGAGACCATCCTGGTCAACATGGTGAAACCCCGTCTCTACTAAAAAATATAAAAAAGATTAGCTGGGCATGGTGGTGCGTGCCTGTAATCCCAGCTACTCAGGAGGCTGAGGCAGGAGAATTGCCTGAACCCAGAAGGTGGAGGTTGCAGTGAGCCGAGATCACACCATTGCACTCCAGCCTGGGTAACAAGCGCGAAACTCCATCTCAAAAAAAAAAAAAAAAAAAAAAAAAAAACTGAAGAAACCATAGATGCTGGTGATGATGTGGAGAGACAGGAATGCTTTTACACTGTTAGTGGGAATGTAAGTTAATTCAACCATTGTGGAAGACAGTGTGGTGATTATTCAATCATACAGAACCAGAAATACCATTTGACCCAGCAATCCCATTAATAGATATGTACCCAAAGGAATACAAATTATTCTATTATAAAGACACATGAACACATATATTTATTGCAGCACTATTTACAATAGCAAAGACATGAAATCAACCCAAATGGGCTATCAATGAGAGACTGGTTAAAGAAAATGTGATACATAGTGGTACCACAGAATACTATGCAGCCATAAAAAGGAATGAGTTCTTGCCCTTTGCAGGGACATGGATAAATCTGGAAACCATCATCCTCAGCAAACTAACACAGGAACAGAAAACCAAACACTGGATGTTCTTATTCATAAGTGGGAGTTGAACAATGAGAACACATGGACACCTGGAGGGGAACAACACACACCCAGGCCTGTCAGGGAGTTGAGGGGGTAAAGGAAGGGAGAGCATTAGGACAAATAGCTAATGCCTGTGGGGCTTAAAAACTAGATGATGGGTTGATAGGTGCAGCAATCCACTATGGCACATGCATGCCTATGTAACAAACCCACACATTCTGAACTTGTATCCCAGAACTTACAGTAAAATTATATATATATATATATATATATATATATAGTTTTAAAACTAGTTTTCTTTGTTGATAACCAAATCTTTACTTATTTATAAATACAATTTGTCCTGTCTTGCATATTTCAATATTTATATTATTGGTTGCTTTTCTTATCTAGCACTTAACTAAAATAATAAGGCAGAAATACATATGTATCCAAGAAATAGCTATATAAATAAATAAATAAATAAGTAAACTAATAAAAAATAATCAAAAATTTAAAAAATAAATACAGTATTGCTATGATGAACATTTGGAAAGCTAAAGACAGCTACACAATCTTTAACTGTTTCATCCCAAGAAACACTTTTAACAATTTTAATTCACTCAGGAAATGTTTACAGAGATAAAAATAAGTAAAATAAGCAACAAATAAATAAAAATAAATACTACTCATTGTGGGAGACATTTGAAATGTTAAAGACAATTATAAGGTCTTTAACTCTTTAAAGACAAAGAGATCTTATATAAACTTAATTAGCTGGAAAGAGGTACCAGTAATACATGAGTTTGGGTTTAAAATTGGGAGAATGGTTGAATTTGAATTAGCAAAAGAGCACTTATTGTCAATCAAGAGCTTATTGTAAAGCAAGAGCCTGACAATAAAGATAAAATAACAAATAAAAATAAAAATGGAAAATTTCACCATGTGTTATTTAACAAGGTGAGAAGAAAATGAGTTACTCTAGTGTGTGCTTCAGTGTGAAAGAGCCCATGTCATAGATAGAAGACTGAAAAGTTAATTACACATAGGATAGAGAAAGATTTGTTTATATTAATACAACTGAAAATGGTTTAAAATTTTTTATACAACATCAGAATAAGAACATTCCTAATACTTTGGAAACACACCAATTACTGAATGTGGTGCCATTTGTCCATTTCCAAGAATCTTCTGGTTTCCTGCTTAGTCCAATCCAGTATGTGCCCGTTCCTGCGAACCTCTTCAAAAATTCCTTTCACAAAGCAAAGGGAATCATCAATTACTTAATATGTTGTAGTACGTTGCTGAACATGCTTCCCACCCCAATTATTCCATTTTTTGGTTTCACATTCTGATTTGTCTTCCCTGAGGCTTCTATAATAACAAACGGCACAGACGTTGACATTTGTTAGTTTTATCGGAAAGATTTTCATTTTGCTTTTCTGCATCTTAAGTATCTTCAAAGAGTTGGGCTATAATCAAGTAATTGATGCTGAGCTACACTCTGATTATCTTTAAAGGTAACTTCCATGTCTCTAGTTGGAAATTAATGACAAAACCATATTTGAGATTATTTCCTTCAAATTCAAATTCCTAATATGTTCTAGTCACAGATTGAATGACATAGGCTATCAATTGATATGATGTTAAATTTGCCTAGATGACAATATAAAACCTTAGCAAGTTCTATGAGATTTGATACAGCATCTTCTTCAAGGATGATAGAGAACTAATGTTTATATATATTTTTGTGCACACAGGTACTCTTCCAAAAATCATAGAAGAGGGATTGCAGGGGGAGGAGTTTAATGGAAAGTGTAAGTACTATTAGAATAGAAAAACCCAATGATAAATTACTTTGATTATATACTATATGAATGTCACTGATATTGTATTTTTTACACAATCAGATATGAAACTAACTTCTATGTGAATATAATTTACTGAACGAGATATATTAAGTGATGGGTTTAGTCGTTCCTCTATTGGCTTTTTGCTATTAAACCACAAACCTCTTCATCAGCTTTTTGTTCTTCAACTTGTATTTTAGGTTCTGGGGTATATGTGAAGGTTTGTTACACAGAAGAATTTGTGTCATGAAGGTTTGTTTTACAGATTATTTCATCACCCAGGTATTGAACCATTAACCAATATTTATATCTGTCATGTCTGTCATCACATGGTTCTGGGTTAATCACGGCAATGTGCTGATTGAGATCGATAGGAGAGGACCAGAAGTTTTTTGTGTATATCATTTACGTAAGTACTGAACGAACTTCCGCATTAAGCAATTAACTAATTAAACATGAGTCATATCCAATCCTACCTGTCAGTAGTAATTTTAGATCGAAGATAAAAGTAGACAGACTTATTAGTTAAGGGAAGACATTCAAAAAAACTAATTCATCCATAACAAAAGAATTATAAATCAATCATGTAAACACCACTGCAACCATTGTGGTTCTGCTTTGAGCTCTTTGAGGAATTGCCACAGTGCTTTCCACAGCAGTGGAACACATTTTCACTCCCACCAACAGTGGGAAAAAAAGCTTTCTCTTTTTTCTGCAACCTCGCCTGCATCTGTAGTTTTTTGGCTTTTTATTAATATTCATTCTGATTGGTGTGAGATGATATCTCGTTGTGGTTTTGATTTGCTTTTCTCTAATTATCAGTGATGTTGGGTTTTTTTTTCATGTTTGTTGGTGGCATGTATGTCTTCTTTTAAAAAGTGCCTGTTTATGTCCTTTGCCCGATTTTAATAGGGTTGTTTTTCTCTTGTAAATATGTTTAAGTTCCTTTGTTTTGGCAGATGCATAGCTTGCAAAAATTTTCTCTCATTCTGCAATTTGTCTGTTTACTCTGTTAATAGTTTCTTTTGCAGTGCAGAAGCTCTTACGTTTAATTAGATACCACCTGCCAATTTTTGCAATTTTTTTTTCACCATTGCTTTTGTTGTCGCTGTCATGAAATTTCCCTATTTCAATGTCCAGGATGGTATTGCTTAGGTTTTCTTCTAGGCTTTTTATAATTTTGGGTTTTACATGTAGAATTGACTTTTGTATATGGTATAAGAAAGGAGTCCTCCTTCTAATCTTTTGCATATGGCTAGCCAGTTATCCAGAACAATTGATTGAATAGGGAGTTCTTTTCCTATTGCTTGTTTTTGTCAGCTTTGTCAAAGATGAGATGGTCATAGGTGTGTGGCCTTATTTCTGGGCTTCTATTCTGTTCCATTGGCCTATGCACCTGTTTTTGTACCAGTACCGTGTTGTTTTGTTTACTGAAGCCCTGCAGTATAGTTTGCAGTCAGATAACATGATGATCCCAGCTTTATTCTTTTTGCATAGGATTGCCTTGGCTATTTGGGCTCTTTTATGATTCCATATGAATTCTAAAATAATTTTTTCTAGTTTTGTGAAGAAAGTCATTGGTAGTTTGATAGAAATAGCATTGAATTTCTGCCCTTCAATATCATTCAACTGTTAACCATTCAGTTCAGCCTGGTTAGAACCCTTGTTGGAGAACTGGTGCAGTTGTTCGGAGAACATATGACAATTTGGCTATTTGAGTTACTGGAGTTCTTGTATTAATTCTCTCATCTCTGCGTGTGGGTGTTACTGTAACTGCAGTGCATATTTAGTACTGTCAACAGACTTCTTTGATGTATGTTTTCACAGGGTTGAGTTATGGCTATAGATTGTGGCCTGGCACTCCTAGGCTGCCCACTGAAGTTCTTGGGTGATGTCAGTGTTTATGTTTCCTCTGCAACTCTGAGCAGCAATGGAAGGGAACTTAGTAGTGGTTAGGGCCAACAGTCTTTTGCTTTTCTCCTGGGAGCTTCACTCCAGAGAGATGCAAGTAAGCAATCATTCAGTGCAGTCAGCCTAGGATGGAGAGTCTGTGCTGTGGGCCCAGCTGGGGGCTCCATGTCTGGTCAAGGTGGGTGGGCGGAGCCTGTGAAGATGGACTGACCTCCTCTCCTGCAACTTACTGCAGGTGTGGATAAGAGACTTAGCGTCTTTGCTCCTTTGTTAGTCTGAGGGCAGCAAGGGTGGTTCCAGGGCAGAGGCAGAGAGGTCTTCATTGCCTCTGGAGGCTCTGTCCAGGACATTCCAGAGCTGCTACTGGCTTGACAGCTCTTGAGAGGGGTGGCTGGAGGCTGAAACCTGGAAGACCCTCCTAGTGAAGAGACAAGGAGATGGGCACCCATGTAATAGCCTGGCCACTTTTTCATAGGGCTGCTGTGGCATGGTGGCGGCCATCTCCAGTCCCTATTCACCTCGGATTTTCCAATACCTGTAGGTACCAGTGGTGAAGCCTGCAAAACAGCAAAGATGGTGGCCTGCCCCTCCCTCTGTGAGCTCTGTGTCAGGCAGGTACACACCTATTGCTGACCCGAACACACCTGAAGGAAGTGGCTAGTGACCCTGATTGGATATCCTGCCCAGTGAGGAGGAATGGGATTGGGTACCCACTTACGAGAGCAGTCTGGCCACTTTTTTGTAGAGCAGCTGTGCTGTACTGGGGGGCCACTTCCGCCCCTGGTCAACATGGACTCTCCAAAGCCTGAAGGCTGGATGGCTAAGTCACCCAAAGAGCAAAGATGGAGGCCCGCATTTCCCTCCAGGAGCTGTCTTAGGGAGGTGCAATGCTGTTATTGATGGCTGGCTAGATTTCCAAGCCAGTAGGTCCTATCTGGTGAGGTGCCATGGAAGTGGGTCCTTCAGAATGTCACTGCTCAGCCCCTTGGATTCAGCCCCTTTACTAGGGGTAGTGTATAACCTCCCTCTTTGCTGGAGTTGCAACTACTTTTTCTAGGAAGCCTGGAAAGCCTGGCCAAGGCTCCCAGGTCTCTGCATGTGCCTGAGTGGCTGCTCTCCTGAGGCTCCAGGTAGCTCTGTCAGACTGAAGGCCCTGGTGGAGCTGGTTCACAAGGGGATCTCCTGACCTGAGGGTTGCCAAGATCCATGGGAGCGGCATGGGATCCTGGGGTTGGACATCCACTCACCACTTCCCCTGGCTCTGTGTCATTCCCAGGTTGGCCATCTGCCTGCCTTGCTTTTCTCCATTGTCCACGGGTTGAGTTGTTTCCATGATGAGTTCCATTGCATGTACCCTCGATGTTTCAGTTGAAAGTGCTGTATTTACTTACCCTTTCAGTTCCTGTCTGTGAAAGCTGTGTACACCAGCTACTTCTAGCCAGCAATCTTGCCTACTCTACAATTCCCAGCTTTTCTTTAAAAACTAACTAGTCTATTTTCTTACTCTGTCCCTAGAGTCCACGTGTCTCCTTCTTCACTTCCATTAATTCACTCGCTTCTTCAAAGTGCACATATTTCCTTCATATCCTTGTCTCTAAATTTCAAGAGCTGTATTTTCTTTTTTTCAGTCTATGCTTGGTAGAATGCAAATTTAAATGGTTTAAAAAATAATCTACTTAATAATCTAAGAACATCTAATGAAGACATTTAGATACAGAAACAGTATGCATTGTGGTAAAGGACATGGCATCACTAGTCATCTTGCCTGGGTTCAAATCCCAGCTCAACAACTTATGGCTGTAACACTGGCTGGGTTACATAACATTTCTGTGACCCACTTTCCCGTCTTTAAAGTAGGGAGAGTTATATAACTCCTTCATGGGTGTTACTAGAAGATTACATAAGTTTCAGTGCTTAGAACACTGTTTAGCACATATTGTCATAAACAGTTGACTTAAACAATGTGGCAGTTAGGGGCACTGACCCCCTGTGCAGTCAAAAGTCCTATATAACTTTTCACTCCTTGAAAAGTCATGCTGGGCACGGTAGCTTAAGCTAATTATGGCACTTCGGGAGGCTAAGGAAGGAGGCTTGCTAGAGCCCAGTTTGAGATCAGTCTGGGCAATGTAGTGAGACCTCATCTCTCCAAAAAATAAACAAAATTAGCCAGTGTGGTGTGCATCTATAGTCTCAGAAGGCTGAGGTGGGAGGTTGCTTGAGCCCAGGATTTCAATGCTGCAGTGAACTGAGATTGCACCACTGCACTCCAGCCTAGGCAACAGAGTGAGACCCTTTCTTAAAGAGAAAATAAAAACAGAAAAAGTAGCCACTAGTAGCCTACTGTTGACTGGAAGTCTTACTGATAATATAAAAGTAAGTTAACACATATTTTGGATGTTATTTGAATTATATGCTGTATTCTCACCAAAAACAAAGCTAGAGAAAAGATGGTATTAAGGAATCATAAAGAAGAGAAAATTTATTTACTATTCATTAAGTGGAAGTGAAGCATCCTAAGTGTCTTCATCCTCATTGTTTTCATATTGAGTATGCTGAGGAGGGGGAAGAAGAGGAGGGGTCGCTCTTGGTGTCTCAAGGGTGGCAGAGGGAAGAGAATCCATGTATAAGTGATCCACACCGTTCAAACCCATATTGTTCAAGGCTCAGTTGTATTATAGTATTAGCTATTATTGCTTTTATTATATTTTTATACAAACTTAATCTCTGAAATTCCTGAAGACTTTTTAATTTTCTTACCATATCTTTTTGTGTATCAATCTGAGCAAGTTCTGATTTCTGTAAACTGCAAAACATTTTACTGGCTGTCCAATTTCTGGTATCATCAGAAAAATAGAAACACTTATCTCTTACTCCAAGCCAGTCCTCTGAACATGCCACAGGTTTAGCACGTTTTGAGCATATGACTGAAAAAAAAGAAAGAAATGATAAGATCAAGCATAAGTTAAAAGTGTTTCTACTCATTCTACTGTATTCATTTTATTTTTTGCTTCCATGGTTTGAGGCCTGTAAATTAGCTTCACCACTAGAATGAAGATTAATTAACTTCCCCCATCTGTAAGGAAGATCATTCAGTGATCAAGCAGTATATGCTTTTTTTTTTTTCTATTTTCCTGGCTTCTTTTTGAGAAATGGTGCTACTCATGTAGGGAAAACTCAAATGTAGGGCAAACTCCAAAGCCTGCACTCTCTGCTCCACCATGATGTATTTTTGCTGCTGTTGTGGTAGTGCTCAGGAGTGGATACGTGCTACTACACAGGGGATCAAACATATTGTGTTTCAACTCTCTCTGCTCTTTTTTTATTTAAATTTTTACTTTCAGTTCTGGGATACATGTGCGGAATGTGCAGGTTTGTTACATAGGTATACACGTGCCATGGTGGTTTGCTGCACCTATCAACCCGTCATCTAGTTTTAAGCCCTGCATGCATTAGCTATTTGTCCTAATGCCCTCTCTCCCCTTACCCACTACCCTTTGACAGGTCCCGGTTGCAGGTTTGTTACATAGGTATACACGTGCCATGGTGGTTTGCTGCACCTATCAACCCGTCATCTAGTTTTAAGCCCTGCATGCATTAGCTATTTGTCCTAATGCCCTCTCTCCCCTTACCCACTACCCTTTGACAGGTCCCGGTGTGTGATGTTCCCCTCTCTGTGTCCATGTATTTTCATTATTCAACTCCTACTTGTGAGTAAGAACACACAGTGTTTGGTTTTCTGTTCATGTGTTAGTTTGCTGAGGATGATGGCTTCCAGCTTCATTCATGGCCCTGCAAAGGACATTAATTCATTCTTTTTTATGGCTGCATAGTATTCCATGGTATATACATGCCATATTTTCTTTATTCAGTCTATCGTTGATGGACATCTGACTTGGTTCCAAGTCTTTGCTATTGTAAATAGTGCTGCAGTAAACATATATGTGCATGTGTCTTTAGAGTAGAATGACTTATAATCCTTTGGGTTTATACTCAGGAATGGGATTGCTGGGTCAAATGGTATTTCTGGTTCTATATCCTTGAGGAATCACCATATTGTCTTCCACAATGATGGAACTAATTTACACTCCCACCAACAGTGTAAAAGTGTTCCTCTTTCTCCACAGCCTTTCCAGCATCTATTGTTTCCTGACTTTTAAATAATCACAATTCTGACTGATCTGAGATGGTATCTCATTGTGGTTTTGATTTGCATTTCTCCAATGACCAGTGATAATGAGCTTTTTTTCATATGTTTCTTGGCCACATAAATGTCTTCTTTTGTCTTTCTGCTCTTTTTAATCAATGGGTAAATGAATATAAAAAACTTCTTGTAGAAACTCTTGTCTACATTTAACTTCCAGATGTTTAGACACCAATAACATTAAGCTCTAATACTACAGTGACAGAAGAGACTATAAACAAGACTATTAGTATTCTTGAGAATGACCAAAACCAAAGCAAACCAGAACAAAACAAACAAGAATCAGCAGTGCTAAGCACTAACTTCGCCAAATTTAAGTGCTAAATTAAGTGAAACATGCATATTGAAAATCAAGTGCTGAGGCTATTTGGCCATAATTAAATTCCACCTTTGGATCCATTTCACAAAATAAACCCATAGTACCCAGAGGAAATTTAACAACTTCATCTTTACAAATACTGCAACTCCTACAATGAGACGATCTTGCAACAAGTCACATATGCCATTATTTCTTCATTTTTTCTTTTAACTTAATATGATAGAAAAGGAGTTCAGAACATGATGCCCCTAAATATGTCACTCTAGCATATAGACTATTTTGAGTTAAAGGCACTTATAAAACAGCAAACGGAAGACAAAACACTTTGAACTTCCTTCTTTTTCTTATGAGCAGTAGATAAAATACCTACCTGAAAGATAGCTTCTCTATACCAGAAGGAAAGTAACAGTCTTATAACCAAGGATAGGTAGTTGAGGCCAAAGGAAATGTGTACAAACAGCGTTGGTTAAACTAACATTTATCTTTCTGGTCACTTTTCCACCCAACTAATTACCCTAGATTAACCCCCTTTTCCTTGCCGCATTTTCATAATTTATTACCTTTTGTTTAATTTAGTATCTAAATGTCTAACTCTAATCGAATCTTTTTAGGCTTTCATAAGGAAGACATACATGTCACATAAAACTTATATGAAATAAATGCATGTATTTTGCTCAAGTTGATGTGCCTTGTGCCAATTTCATTCTCAAGCCCAGCAGCAAAACCCTGAGAGGGTAGAGGTAAAATTTTGCCTCTTGACTAATAGAAATCAGTAAATGTTTTATAGAACAATGGTTAGTGGCATAACTTACTCTTGATTAAAAAGAAATTAAAGAAATGCTACAATTATGGAAGTATAGCTGCATGATTTTTAAAATTTATCATGGATTACAGTTATACAGACAGGGTTTTTGATCCTAGGTCTGGAATTTATTATTTGTGAGAGACAAATTACTCACTCTGTCCTGAATACTTTTTGTCTGTAAATGGATTTCCTTATATCTGTGTCCTAGTCTAATGAGGATTAAATACAAATAACAGAATATAGTGTATTGGACATTAGCTTACAAATTCACAAACTCTTAAAAAGAAAATTAGCTGTAACAAGTCCATAAAACTGATGTTTATGTGGGTTTTAAAATATATATATATATAGAAATTGATCCTCCTGGTCTTAAAGCTTGAAACTTACATTTGTCTCATTTGAGTTCCTTCTTTTTTTTTTTTTTTTAATGGAATGGGAATCAGGCATCTACTAAGGCTTCACATTTAAGCAAAAATAAATAAATAAATAATTGCCAGATGGTGTCCCTTCATCAAAGACTGAGTTAGAAAGGTTGGTCAAGGGGGTGAGAGCAGATCTGATGTACTTCATTCTTCCAAATGACAGTCTTTAAAGCAACATAAAGATAAATGACCTGCTGCTCTCTTTTCTGAATGTGTCATGGGAAGTCTTTTCCATTCCATAAATACTTATATTAGCAAATCAAATAAGCCAGAGAAGCAGTTAGGCTGAATTCCAGGAAAAAAAACCATACTGGTGCTGTTTCACTCCATTAATGTTATTACTAAATTATTAATTGCCACTATATAAGATCTATTTATTTATTTATTTTTTATTTTTCTTTTATCAGGTCTTCAGAGGAATGTATTGAGCAGAGGTGAGGAAGTAGGATGTTGAAAAGTAAAAACAGGAGAGAAGGAGAGGAAGAAAGAGGAAGAAAGGAAGAAAAAGGGAGAGAGAACAGGAATATTGCTTCATTCTAAAAATGGGTATTAATAATGGCCGATCAATATTTTGTGTATTTAAAATGGAGAACTCTATAAATATTTATTGAGTTTACTTGTTCCGGATCTGAGTTGAAGTCCTGGATATCCTTATTAATTTTCTGTCTCGTTGAGTCTAAATCTCGTTATGGGTCTTATGTATCTGGGTATTAAGATCTCTTATTGTTGCATTGATCCTTTTACCACTGTATCTTTGTTGCTTTGAAATCTGTTTTATCAAATGTGAGAATTGCAACTCCTGCTTTTTGTTTGTTTATTTATTTTTGCTCTCCATTTGGTTGGTAAATTTTTCTCCAACCCTTTGTTTTGAGTCTTTGTGTATCTTTGGATATACTGTTAGGTTTTGGCTGTATCTTTTGATTGGGGGATTTAGTCGATTTAAATTTAGGGTTACTGCCATTTGATGTTAACTGGCTATTTTATCCATTCGTTGATGTAAATTCTTCTTTATGTTGATGCTCTTTACTTTTTGGTATATTTTTAGAAAGGCTCATACTGGTTGTTCTTTTCTATGTATAATGCTTCTTTCAGAAGTTTTTGTAAAGCAGGACACTATTTTCCCCAGGAAATACAGAGAACACCACAAAGATATTCCTCAAGAAGAGCAACCCCAAGGCACATAATCATTAGATTCACCAGGATCAAAATGAAGGAGAAAATACTAAGGGCAGCCAGAGAGAAAGGCCAGGTTACCCATAAAGGGAAGCCTATTAGACTTACAGCAGATCTCTCAGCAGAAACTCTACAAGCCAGAAGAGAGTGGGGGCCAATATTCAACATACTTAAAGATCAGAACTTTCAGCCTAGAATCTCATATCCTGCCAAACTAAGCTTCACAATTGAAGGAAAAATAAGATCTTTTATGAACAAGCAAGTACTCAGAGATTTTATTACCACCAGGCCTACTTTACAAGAGCTTCTGAAAGAAGCATTATACATAGAAAGGAACAACCAGTATGAGCCTTTCTAAAAATATACCAAAAAGTAAAGAGCATCAACATAAAGAAGAATTTACATCAACAAATGGATAAAATAGCCAGTTAACATCATATGGCAGTAACCCTAAATTTAAATCGACTAAATCCCCCAATCAAAAGATACAGACAAAACCTAACGGTATATCCAAAGATACACAAAGACTCAAAACAAAGGGTTGGAGAAAAATTTACCAACCAAATGGAGAGCAAAAATAAATAAATAAACAAAAGGCAGGAGTTGCAATTCTCACATTTGATAAAATAGATTTCAAAGCAACAAAGATACAGTGGTAAAAGGATCAATGCAACAATAAGAGATCTTAATACCCAGATACATAAGACCCATAACGAGATTTTAGACTCAACGAGACAGAAAATTAATAAGGATATCCAGGACTTCAACTCAGACCCGGAACAAGTAAACTCAATAAATATTTATAGAGTTCTCCATTTTAAATACACAAAATATTGATTGGCCATTATTAATACTCATTTTTAGAATGAAGCAATATTCCTGTTCTCTCTCCCTTTTTTCTTCCTCTTTCTTCCTCTCCTTCTCTCCTGTTTTTACTTTTCAACATCCTACTTCCTCACCTCTACTCAAAAAAAAAAAAAAAAACAAAAAAAACAAAACTTTCCCTTTGGGTGGGGTGGGGTGCGGTGGCTCACATCTGTAATCCCAACACTTTGTGAGGCCGAGGCGGGTGAATCACCTGAGGGCACTCTGACCAACATGCTGAAACCCCATTTCTACTAAAAATACAAAATTAGCCAGGCATGTTGGTGCATGCCTGTAATCACAGCTACTTGAGAGGCTGAGGTAGGAGAATTGCCTGAACCTGGGACGTGGAGGTTGCAGTGAGTCAAGGTTGCACCATTGCACTCCGGCCTGGGCAACAAGAGTGAAACTGCATCTCAAAAACAAAACAAAACAAAACAAAAACACCTCTCACTTTTTAGGATTCTCTCGGATACCCTTCAGGATTATGTTTAAGGACAAGAGGATCCTTGCAGTAAACAAATCATCTCTTCTTTACATAGGCATTACATTTTCACCCTGATCCTGCCTTCATGCTTGTGTGTGTGTGTGTGTGTTTGCTTGATTTCTAGCCAGCACAGCTTTTTTTTTTTTTTTGAAAAAAAAAAAAAAGAGTCTTTTTCACTGGCAAGAGTCATCGTCTTTGGGATTGGTTTTCTGTGCTGTGAGCAATGGGACCTAGACTGAACCCCTGGAATTTCAGTAACATAGCTATTGCTGTTGCCGTCAGGTGGTCATCTGAGAATTTAAATTTATTTTTTTAAAATATCAAGAACTATAAAGTCAAGAACATAATTCTATTGTGAGACTGTGATTATTTTAGGGAGAGGCAAGGATTATGGTAATACCTGTTGTACTGGTAAAAACTTGAGGACAAGTTCACTACAAAACCCTTTAATTACTCCAGATCTGGGAGATTTGGAGTTAAGCTTGAGATAGAAATGGACCTCCCAGGTGTGAAGAACCATAGAACCACTCCCAGGTGTGAAGAACCACTCACCTATTGCAGAAATGCACAATATAAAAATCGGGAAGCATATACCAAGGCAAATCTTCTTCTTGCAAACTGCAAATTAAATCAACACATATTATAAAATTTATAAATAAACACTGACTGGATATTATTACTGGTGTATTCCTCCTAATTGTTAATCAAAAAATCCTTAATAAAAGCTTATACATCTCAAAATAATAAAGAATAGAACCATCACAAAGTGCAAGGAAGGTAAGTACCAAAAAAAAAAAAAAAAAAAAGATTGCTACAGCTGTTCAAATGGAGAGAGGGTGAGTGGAGAAATCACTTCGTCTTAGGGGAATGAGGAAGGAAAGGAAAGGTTACTCAAAAGGTGGAAATAGTTTGAATGGGGAATTGTAAGCAAAACAGCATAAAGATCATCAAAAGATCCATGATGAGCATAAATGTTTATAACAGATATATAAGGCAATAAAGTTGAAGACAGTAAAAAAAAAGTCATATGGTCATGACAGAAGATTTTAAATGATATAATTTTTCCTTTATTCTTTAAGCCATGGCAGAACGAAACAGTGTGCTTGAGCAAGAGACTATCAAGATAAAAACCGTAATTTATTTATTTGTGGTAAGCAGAAAAAATTAGAGAAGACACAGGATTTCCCACTCATGGAAAAGCTATGACGTTAAGAACAAATAATAATTCTATTAATGATAAAATAATTGTATCTGATTCATTATTAGATGTAGAAACAATCTAGGAGGGATGAGTGTGTACATATATAGATGTATATATGTGTATGTATATATTATATGTGTGTATATATATAATATACATATATATGTGTATATACATATATATGCATGGCTTAGCAATGGGGAGACATTTTGAGGAATGTGCCTTTAGGTAATTTTGTCATTGCGTGAACATCGTAGAGTATACTTACACAAACCTAGACAGTATAGCCTACTAACACCTAAGCTATATATTACAGCCTGTTGCTTCTAGACTACAAACTTGGATAGCATGTTATTGTACTAATTACTGTAGGCAATTATTACACAATGCTAAATACTTGCATACCTAAACATAGAAAAGGTACAGTAAAAATACCACATAAAAGATCAAAAATGAAACACCTTTACAGGGCAGCTTCATTACAATCTTATGACCACTGTCATTATGCAATGTGTCATTGACCAAAACATTGCTCCGTGGTGCACGACTATATATGTATATAGTGTATATGTGCATAAACACATATTGTGTATATATATATACACATGTATGCATGCCTGTATGCATATATGCTTTACATGTATTTATATATACATATGTTCAAATATTAGAAAAGAGGACTTGAAGAAAGCAAAACTTAAAAAGAAGTTACAAGCTTTCTCTATTTCTTCAGAGCCTGAAGCAGCCTTGGTGAATGAAAACTAAAAAAGTTATTAGTTTTCATGATCACCAGACTACAGATAATATGTAACAAAGCAATTTCAAGAAGGGATTGCGAGAAGCCAGATTCTAAGATGTTTACAAAGAGAATGTTTGATAAGAAGAGTTTGGTAATTTATCTTACATGAAGAGAAACAATAGCTAAAGAGAAAATACAAAATGAGTTCCTTTTTTTTGTTTTCAAGATTAGAGAAAAGTGAAGAACAAGGAAGAGGAAAAGATAAAATCCACTGCATAAATTTCAGACACTCAAAAGAGTAATGTAACACTTAATATAAAACTCCAATAATGAAACAATGTGTTTTGAGGGAAAGGCTTGGTGTATAGATGCATGAAACACAATAAGGAGTCCAGAAATTGACACACACACATATATTGTTAAATAATTTTTGCAAGGGTAACAAAGCAATGCAATGAGCAAAGCTACATCTCACACAAAAGGTATTAAAATAACAGAAAAAAAGACTTTACCATACTACAACATCATTTTACAAAATTTAGTTAAGGTATATCTTTGACTTGAACATAAAACCTAAAACTATACAATTTCTAGGAAACAAAATAAGTTGTTCGTGACCATGAGAATTAGTCTTAGAGATGTCTTAGAGAGAGAGCAGAGAAAATACTGCATAAAATTAGGAGAAAATGATAAGTTGAACCTAATAGAAGTTTAAGGGCAGGGCATGGTGGCTCACTCCTGTAATCCCAGCAGTTTGGGAGGCCAACGCAGACAGATCACCTGAGGTTAGGAAATTTGAGACTGGCCTGGCCAACATGGTGACACCCCATCTCTACTAAAAATAAGAAAAATTTGCTGGGTGTGATGGTGGGCACCTGTAATTCCAGCTACTTGGGAGGCTGAGGCAAGAGAATCCCTTGAACCCAGGATGTGGAGGCTGCAGTAATTGAAATCATGTCACTTTACTCCAGCCTGGGTGACATAGTGAGACTCTGTCTTAATTAATAAAAAAAGAAAAGAAAAGAAATGTAAAACTTTTGCTCATTTCAAGTTACAAGACACTGTTATAAATATAAATATGCAAGTTACAGACTGGGAGAAACTAGTTGTAACACATGGACCAAAAAAGACTAGTATCCTAAAATATTAAAAGGCCTGTAATTTAGAGATAGAGTACAAACAACTTGATTAAAAAATGAACCAAAATCTTGAACAAATACGAAAGAATACACATGAGTGACCAAGAAGCACATAAAAGATGTTCCATATTATTAGTCACAAGAAAAATGCAAAATAAAATCACAATGAAATATGACTATGTGCCCCTTGCACTGTTAAAATGAAAAAGACTGACAGTGTCAAGTGTCAGGATATAGAGCGACCAAAACGCATACACCACTGGCTGAAGTACAAAAATGTACGAGCGTTTGCGAAAACTCCTTAGCAGTTTTTATTTTTAATTAAAATGCACATCCTTTCTTGTTCTGGCATGTGATATTTTCGATAGCATAGAAGTCATTCATATTCTGGCATGGGATATTTTTGATAGCTTGTATCCTATCAAAAATATTCTCACAGTGACACACCCTATCATTCTCACAGTGACAACAAAAAAGCTGAAAAAACTAAATAAAAACACTTCTGGTATACAGACATAGGATGGTTTTGTTAAATGAATGATACTGAATACATATTTGTATATTATTTCTTCAAATATTTCCAATTGACTATTCTTTTTCTCTCTCTCTCCATTTTAGATTCTTGTTATCTAGAAGGTGGCATTTCTACTTCTATTTTTCATATCTCTCAGCTTTTATTTTGTATTTTGTATTGTTTTCTTTTCTGTCATATTTTTAATAGAGTCTCCTAGGTCTTACTCATTCTTAATCAGCATCCATTCTACTAATTAACTCATTTCAATCTCGTTAAGTCACAATCATCAAGCCTCCTTCCAGAGTGAAGCATTTACTTTTTATTCTGGATAAAAGTGTTAAGCAATACTTTTTGGTGAAAATACATTTTGAAAACATCCTTATTGAGATATAATACACACAGCATAAAATTCTCCCCAAAAACCTTCTTATACACAAGCTTATACCGTCTCTTGCAGAAATAAAACTCTACTTGCTCTGGTAGTCTTCCACAATGCTCCAGAATAAGCTGGAATAATGCTTCCCCCATGCTTCACTTACTCTAGTAGACTTTCACCGTAAGTAAAGAGTCCACATTTTTAAGCTGTCCTGTATTTTATTTTATCTCTCCTTTACTTCCTTCTCATTCACTCAATAAAACTTACTTGTCCGACATATGAGGCCATCAGATCTGCCATCGCGGAGCTCTGAATTCATCATCGCACTGTTCTAACTGATGGAGATCCGTGGGAAAGGAATGGAAAGTTTCACTTATTAGGCTACAGTGAAGAAGCTTCTCTGTTGGACAGGACAATTGCCAATCAAGACTCTTACGCAATCCAGGCAGAAAATGTCAGTACTCACTTGAGATCAAAGATAAAAGTGGGCAGACTAGTTTAGGGAAAGAAATTAAGATTTAAACATTGACTCATCCATAGCAAAAGGATCATGAAGTTAGTCAGTAAACAACACGACAACCATGCTATGAGACATTTCCATCAGTTTTTTTTTCCCTTTTGTAATTATTATCTTTTCTGACTCTGGTCCCTGGCAAGCATTGATTTGCTTTATATCAACAGAGTTTTTCCTTTCGTGAAACTTTTTTTTTTGAGACAGGGTCTCCCTCTGTTGCCCAGCCTAGAGTGCAGTGGGGAAAAGCTGGCCGCACTGCAACCTTGACTTCCTTTTCCCAAGTGATCCTCCTGCCCTAGCCATCCAAGTAGCTGGGGCTAAAGTCATGCTCCATCATCCCCTGCTAATTTTATTTTTTGTAGAGACTAGGTCTCATTATGTTGCCCAGACTGGTCTTGAACTCGTGGGCTTAAGTGATCCTCCCATTTCAGTCACCCAAAGTGCTAGGATTACAGGCGTGAGCCACCACTGCTAGCCCCTTTCATAGAATTTTATATAAATGGTATCATATGTAGTGTCTTGTCTCTGGCTTATTACATTTATAATAATGCTTTTGAGATTCACTCAAGTTGTTGTGCAGGTAAGTAGTTCATTCCCTCTTATTTCTGAGTGCCATTCCTATTTGCATGTTTTATCGGAAATTGTCTATCCCATCACGAGTTGATGGACTTTTGTTGCCAGGGTGTGACTATTTTGGACGAAACTGCTGTACACAAGAATTCCAGTGTGGGCGAGTTTTCTCTTTGGTAAATTTCTAGAAATTGAATTGCTGCATCAGGTGAGTATGTTTATCTTTATCAAGAGGTGTCAAGACTAGGCGTGGTGGCTTATGCCTGTAATCCATCATGTTGAGAGGCCAATGTGGGCAGATCATGAGGTTAGGAGTTTGATCTGGCCAACATGGTGAAGCCCTGCCCTAGTAAAAGTACAAAAAAAATTAGCCAGGCGTGGTAATGGGCACCTGTAATCCCAGCTATTTGGGAGGCTGAGATAGGAGAATCACTTGAACCTGGGAGGCAGAGGTTGCAGTGAGCCGAGATTGTGCCACTGAACTCTAGCCTGGGCAACATAGCAAGACTTCATATCGAAAAAAAAAAATGCAGTCAAACTGTTTTCCAAAGTAGGTTTATGAGTTTCAGTTTCCATCAACACCACTTGTTATTATCTATCTTTTAATTTTAACTATTGTACTATATATTTATTGATCTCTCATATGGTTTCAGCTTACATTCCTCTAGCGACTAATCATGTTCAGCATCTTTTTATGTACAGATTGATTATATGTCTTCCTTGGTGCCATACTTGTCCAATACTTTGCCAATTTTTAATTGGGTTTTCTATTATCTACTGATAAGAATTATTAATAAACAGTGGATATGAGTCCTTCATTGTACATATGTTTTGTAAATATTATTTCCCCATTTATGACTTATTTACTTTTTCACAGATTTTTGAAATGTCAAAAGTATACCTTTTAAATAAAGTCAAATCTATCACTTTTTCCATGTTTTGAGTTTTGTGCCTTCACTATGAAACCTTTGCCTATCTCAAGATCACAAACATTACCCCATTTCTTTCTAGATATTTTAAAGTTTTAGCTTTCATATTTAGGTTTCTTGCTCATGTTGATAAAAGCTTTGCATACAGGATGAAGTAAAAATCAACATAAAATTTTCAAAAGATGAATATCCCATTGTTCTAGAACCATTTGCTGAAAAGATTCTCTTTCTTTTTTGAATTACTTTGTCACGTAGATGAAAATTCAATCTTCTTTGATTTGTACTCAGCAATGTTTACAGTGTTTAGTGTACAACTTTTGCACATACTTTATATTTTCAATATCTGTGCAGATGGTATTATATATTTAACTTAAATTTCCAATTGTCTGTTGTTACGATGTAGGAATGTAATTTATTTTTGTTTATTGAGCTTGCATCTTTAGACTTTGCCAAACTATTCATTTATTTGTTCTATTATCTCTTTTGTAGATTCTTTTGGATTTCCTGCAGAGACATTTATGCCACTGTAAATAAAGTCCATTTTACTTCTTTTCTTTCTTTTTCCCCTGTTATAAAGTGATTTTATTAAATTGATTTGGACATACTGTAGTTCAAATAATATTTTCTGAAGATAACAATTATGGACTTTAAAGCTCGACATAAAATTAGTAGCTTCAAAAGGGTTAGTCATATTCCCCAGCAACAGCATGATAAAATAATTCAACTATGTAGAAATATAGAACTCTAGGACTAGCTGGAAACTCAGAAATCATTTAGCCTAATGTTCTCATTTTGAGAGAAAACTAGACTCCAAGATTAAGCGACTTGCCCAAGCTCACACACCTAATAGTAATAAAGCTAGAAATCAAACCAATTTTTCCTAAAACTAAAATTCTATCAATGATATTTCAATGGACTCTCTATCAACTAAAAGTCTGGGCTTTTCTCTAACGCTCCACGCTATTGTGACATGAAAGAGTGATAAGACACTACAGTAGATCGTACTTATGGAATTCAGGCCTGGAAGGCGCTTTAGCGAATAACTAAGCCAGCCCTCTCTTTGTAAAAAGGAGGAAAAGTATGGAAAATGGCTTACCAAAGGTTTGTTAGCAGAGACGTCTGGATTAAAATCCAGATACTGACAAATTTACTCCCCAATCCCATCTCTAGTTTCATGGCCCACCCACTAAATCATGCGCTCCTTTCAAATCTCCTTTCTGCACTGAGGTTTTAGTTATGCAAAAACCCCTTCCAGTCAAACAGAAAAAAACATTAATTCAAATGTGGAGAGAAAAATCAAACTTTCAGTATTTTCGTGACTATTTTGAGTATTTTACTTTCCAACCTCTTAGACAGCTGACAGACACCACTAACCTGATCACCCATTTCAGAGCTTCAAAGATCCTTAATTTCCCCCAAAGACTTCCTGAGCAAAAGGATTACATGTGGGAAATCAATGAAAATAGAAATGAGAAGAAAAACAAAGTCAGAAATTGGTTGCTTTTGTTCCTGTCATTGGGGACTTTTGGTCTTTTAAACATTCCTTGAGTTCCTCCACATGAGTTTTTAATACCAATCTAGCAAAAATTAAAACAAACTGAAAAAGGCCTATGAAAGTCAGGACACTGAGCACCTCAGCACCTCTCCCCTCCCCGCCACTCGCGAACGCCAGTGCTGGCCTTCTCTTCCTCAAACGCACCGGCTCATCCCCTAGGGCAGCCTCTGTGCTCTGCCAGTGAGAGCTGCTTCTCTTCCAGCCTCAGCTCAACGTTGGCCCCACTGCGGAAAGGCCTCCCTGACCGCCAGCTAATGTCACCCCACCCCCACCCCACCCACCACTAAATCATCACCCTAGTTTATTTTCTTCATAGCACTTAATCACTACCTCAAACTACATTATTTATTTGTCTATTTAGCATCTGTCTCGTTCACCAGAAGTAAACTCCACGAGAGTAGGGACCTTGTCTATCTCATCAGTGGTATTCCCAGCACCTAGCACAGTGCCTGGCACGCAGGAGGTTTTCAATAAATATTTGTTGAATGAAGAAAAGAATGATGGATTAATAAGACGTTCATGCCTTAAAAAGAACTGATACATAGTAATCAACAAAGGGGTATAGAAAACTCCTATGCATTATTGCCCAAGATTACAGAAATAGAGACAAAACATTATTAGTGACTCCTCCTACCATCCACTTCTTGTAAGGTCTCCCTAGCTAGGAAGGAGCCCCATCTGTTACCAAATGAGCCCAGAGGGCAATTCTGGATGAAGAAAGGCTCTCACTTTGCTTGCTTCTTCCTCCCTGCTATTTACATTCAGCTATTTCCAAAAAAAATTCAAGTGAAAAATATGCGATGCAGCTACTGGAAATAAGTCTAACAGAGACAGTGATGAGCAGAATCCACATCAAAAAGGTCCAAGGACATGTATGTCTGCCAGTGATTTTTCTGACAGGCGAAGTGAAAGGGTATTATGAGTCACCTAAAATCTAAAATGAAAGTTAATGCCATCTAGAAAGCGACGGATATTTATGGGGATTCTGAGGACATATAGGTAGAGTGGGTTCAGAAATAATAGGATATATGGAAAGATGCGTAGGGGCTAAATCAAGTGGTAACCTCAGAAATACCAGAATGTGATGTTAGTGTGGGAGCTGTCCATTTTCCAAAGCACTGCCAGTATGCTGGAATCAAGAGGAAGGAAGGGCATGAGCTCCTCAAGGGGGAGTATCTGGGATAGCTTTTAAGCAAAGCATAGATAGAAGGTGACTCAGGAGGCCAGGTAATGCTCATGGCTTTTTGTGTAGTCTTTCAACTATGGAGGCATGGTGCTGGAATCCCAGGAAGTGACGTCTATGACTGGGACCTAACACCCATCCTGGGCGGACACTCAGAGGTCCACATTCAAAGTCAAGCTGTGGAACACACACTTGGCATAAACCAACAAATCAATCTCACATATGCCTCCTCAGAAACAATGTTCTGCTAGGGATTGCTGTAAATATTTATTGGGTCCATGTAGATATCTACAATGTAGATACCTGTATATACAGGGTTTCCTTCCTAGTGGCACTTATGGGTTTTAAGATTTTAAACTCTTAGCAGAACATTTTGTAAAACTGATATTTTGAGATGGTTTCTCTCCTTTGTGTGGACTCTCTGATGGGTGCAGAGGCTCATACTCTGACTGAAGGCCTTTCCGTACTCATCACATTTAAAAGGTTTCTCTCCTGTGTGGACTCTGGTGGATGCACAGGCTTGAACTCTGACTGGGGGCCTTCCCACACTCTTCACATTTAAAGGGCTTCTCTCCGGTGTGGACTCTTTGATGCATGCAACGGTTTGAACTGTTACTAAAGCCCCTTCCACACTCAATACAGACATAGGGGTTCTCACCTGTATGAACTCTCATATGAATTTGAAGATGGGAGCTCCAACTGAAGGCATTGCCACACGTAACATTTATAGGGCTTCTCCCCATGTGGATTTTCTTATGTCTATTAAGTTTTGTTGTAGTGCTAAAATCCTTACCGCAATCATCACATTTATAGACCTTCTCTCCTGTATGGTCTCTCCAATGAATATGAAGTTCCGATATATGAAAGAAACCCTTATCACACTTGTCACATTTATGGGGCTTCTCAGCCGTGTGAATTTTCTGATGCATAAAAAGATCAGCTCTCTCAGAGAAAAATTCCCTACACATGGGGCACTTGTAGATCCTTTTTCCTATTTGGTATCGTCACTTGGAGGAGAAAATTTCCTTACAATTACGAGTTACAAGACTGTAATTTCATGGAGTCTCTTATTCGGCCATTTTGGCAGTCTAAGTTTAAGGGCAGCCTAAGCTTTTCCCTGCCTGTCTTTCTACGGAAGGTTTCTTCCTGCATAGCGTTCCTCACTCAGTGTTACTACTGATTGTAAAGTGACATTGACTTCCACGTGAATTCTGTAACTCATTAACACAGAACTTTGTTTTAGATCCTGAGTTGTCAACATTCGAAGGGGCTCTCAAGGTGCAAACCTTTGCGTTTCTGTGTCCCTAGAATCTTACTCTTGTAGAGCAATCTTGTACTTCTCACTTCTAGAAAAAGGACTGTACAGTATATCCCTTGTATCAAAGGATGGGATTCTGCTGGCTGGTCTCGAGCCCCTGCAGCTGCCCCTGAAGAGTCAGTTTGACATTCTGCCTCCTGCGCATCAGACAGGAAAGCCTTTCCAGGAAGCAGGCTCCTCGGGGTCCAGGTGTGGCAAGCGTTGCTTTTGGAAATTCCTACATGGGTATCATGCCGTCTTCTTTTTTGATCTTGAGGAAGAAGCTCTCTTATCTTCCAGACATGTGTGTCTTGGATTTGCAGTTCACAGTGATAGGATCAAAACCCCCACGACATTCCAGAACAGGCAGAGGCAGGGCCCACAGTGGCTGAAGGGCTACAAAGGCATTATGATCCTGCTATGGTGAGAATCCAGCCCTTGTTGTGGTCAAACAATGGAGGCGTCCGGCGGTAGCTGCCTTCTGCGCTGGGTGTGCGAGGGGTTTCTCATCACCTGGGAGGGATGCTCGCCTCCTCTGCCCGGACGCAGGGCGCCCTGAGCTGTGCGCCCACGTCCCGATGGCCGGATCCTCCCTTCCCCTCGGCCCTCGCCCCCGCCTTGCCACAGCCAGGGGGAAGGCGGGCGTCGCCCCGCCTCGCCAAGTAGGTATCGGCCTGGCCGCCTCCGCCCCGCCCGGGCGACACAGACCAGCAGCCGCGGAGGCGCCTCGCCGCCGGCCCCGCTCCCAGGGTACACCGCCTTTTACTTCTTTTCTAATCAATATTCCTCTGTTTCTTTTTCTTGCTTTATTTTCCTGCTAGCACCAGCATAAATGCTGAATATAAGGGGGACATTTCCTCTTCCTGCAATGTCTCCAGTCTTAGAAGGAAACCATCACCTTCTATCATAAGGTGTATGCTAGGTGTAGGGTTTAAGACGCTATTTATCAGCTTGAGGAAGTTTCCTTCTATTCGTAGTTTGCTGGTCTGGCTAGATGTTTAACCATCTTTGAATTGGATAAAAGTTGATCTTTCCAGCAGGGTGCAGTGGCTCATGCCTATAACCCCAGCACTTTGGGAAGCGGAGGCAGGTGGATCACCTGAGGTCAGGAATTTGAGACCAGCCTGACCAACGTGAAGAAAACCAGTCTCTACTAAAAATACAAAATTAGCTAGGCGTGGTGGTGCATGCCTGTAATCCCAGCTACTCGGGAGGCTGAGGCAGGAGAACCACTTGAACCCTGGAGGAAGAGGTTGCTGTGTGCCGAGATTGTGCTGGTACACTCCAGCCTGGGAAACAAGAGTGAAACTTCATCTCAAAAAAAAAATGATCTTTCTAAGACATCAGGTATTGTTTCCATTAATTTTCTCTTTTAGTTTTCTCATTTTTATTTCATTGTTTTCACTTCGTTCTTTTTTACATTAGGTTTAGTTTTATCTTGTTTTTCTTTCTTAATGTAGAAGTCTAGATTTGAAGAAGGTAGAAAAAAGTAGAAAATAGTAAGTACCAGTCATTGAGGCAATTGCCTCACTAAAACATTAACTCTTTTACTTTAAGTAAAACAGTGACTGAACTTTTAGCCTGCATTTCTCCATCTCCCAAGGGGGAAGTTGCAGTGAGTTGAGATCATGCCACTCACACTCCAGCCTGGGTAACAGAGCAAGACTTTGTCTCAAAAAAAAAAAAGACAAGTTGGTGTTGGGAGAATATGGCTTAAGTGCACACAGTAATGGGCTTCCCAATTCTGTTTCTTCGAATGAGACGGATTACTTCCCCAGGGATCAGCATGACTCCCGAAGGAAGGTGTTGGGTAGCAAAATAGAATGCACTTGGTGCCCATGCAGGATAGAATATGCTCCACTCAGACAGTAGATCTGAAGTAGGATGGAGCTAGGGGCTGAACCAGGCCCAATTCCTCACTTAAACCCACTATTCAGATAAGTCACCTTTTCTCCGAGGAGTCTTTTGGGAAAAAACTATTTTCATAGAAATCAGACGAAGATCTCGTACTTCTCATTCTCCAAGAATTCATATAGAGATGTTGGCTGGGCACCGTGGCTTACATCTGCCTATAATCCCAGCACTGTGGGAAGCAGAGGCAGGTGGATCACTTGAAGTTAGGCCAACATGGTGAGACCCCCATCTCTACTAAAAATACAAAAGTTAGCCGGTGTGGTGGCAGGTGTCCATAATCCCAGCTACATGGGAGGCTGAGGCATGACACTTGAACCCTGGAGGTGGAGGTTGTAGTGAGCAGATATCGTGCCATTGCACTCCAGCCTGGGAGACAGAGCTAGACTCCATCTCAACCAACAAACAAAAATACATTCAAATATACATTAAGAATACATTTAGAGATACACACACACACATCACTTGCTGCCTTAGAATTACGTATATGCATACATTTTGTCTCTTCATTCTCTTATTCAACATTTACAGAGTGCCTAATTTTTACTTGGCATTTTTCTGGGTGCTTGAGATACATCTATTAACAAAATAGACAGAGGTTCCTTTACTTGTGGGTTTCCATTCCAGGAAGATTAAATATACTCTAAAGTCTAAAGATGATAAACAAATGGTGTGATATTTCAGTATGTAATAAGTTCCGCTAAAAACGAAAGATGAGCCAGGTTAAAATTGATTAGCAATGTCAAGATTGAGGAATGTTAGCTGCAATTTTAATAGGTGTCAGGGTAAGCATTACTGAGAAGGTGAACTGTAAATGAAGTTTGAGGAGGGTGGTTATATGGGGGAGCATCATCCTGGTGGAATTGTGTGAAGATCCTAAAGCAGGTGTGTCACATTCCAGAAAGAGCGAGGAAGCCAGCTGTGTCTGGATAAGGAGAGTAGTGAGAGAAGATTTTAGGTAAGTACTGACAGGGTAATTCTGTTTTTGCCATTCTGAGGTGTCTGGCTAATATTCTAAGTGAAAAGGGAGGATGGAAAATTATTTTGAGCAGAAAAGTAGTGTGATCTGACACACATTTAGTATGTTCTTTCTGGGTGCTGTCCTCAGAATAAATTGGAAGGGGATGAAATCTACTTATTTAGCCAATAAGTATACTTATTCAAACTTCTGCCTTTTCACAAGATGGCACCGAAAACGAAGAAGGAAGCTCCTGCCCCTCCTAAAGCCAAAGCCAAAGCGAAGGCTTTAAAGGCCAAGAAGGCAACGTTGAAAGGTGTCCACAGCCACAAAAAAAAGAAGATCCACACTTCACCCATCTTCCGGCTGCCCAAGATACTGTGACTCTGGAGGCAGCCAAAATATCCTCGGAAGAGCACCCCGGGAGAAACAAGCTTGACCACTATGCTGTCATCAAGTTTCCGCTGACACTGAGTCCGCCACGAAGAAGGCAGAAGACAACAACACACTTGTGTTCATTGTGGATGTTAAAGCCAACAAGCACCAGATCAAACAGGCTGTGACACTGATGTGGCCAAAGTCAGCACCCTGATTCGGCCTGATGGAGAAAAGAAATCATATGTTCCACTGGCTCCTGATTACTATGCTTTGGATGTTGCCAACAAAATTGGGATCATCTAAACTGAGTCCAGCTGGCTAATTCTAAATATATATATGTCTTTTCACCATAAAAAGAAATTCAAACTTCTGTTCCTCATGTTTGTAAATTTCAACCAATAGCCCGTTATTTGTTCCTTTCTCTTTTCTTCTTTACCTGTCAAAGCTTCATCACTGGGCACTCTGACTCTTTTTAGTATTATTTCTATTTCAGGACAGTTTGATAAAAATTTCATCATTAGGATTGAATTATTCTTGTACAGCATGTAAATTATAATTTAACAAAGCCTGCATTTAACCTAACACAATTTATACACTATTAAGTCCCAGCCTAGGAGAAAATAAAGAGATGGTGACATTTGTTTCTGATGATGTCAAACATAACATCTATTTTTTCAATATTATTTTCTGTATTGCTTGAATGTCGGTAATGTTTGTGAGACCCAGCTGAGTTTAAAATGTGTTTCTACCATTTACTATAATCCCAGGTGCCGAGACCAGCTTAGCCGTGGAGACCCTAACCCAGGCGATGCTGAAAGAATTAAGAAATAGACACAGAGATAGGAAATAAAAGGTGGGTTCAGAGTGGAGCACCAGGGGTCTCACAGCATTTCCAGCTGAGAGCCCAGAGATTATTCTTTACTTCCAGCGACAAGTTTTACAAGCGGATGCTCTGTGTTCTTTCATTGGTTAAAGGTAAACTAACCAGACAGCTAGTGGGTGTTTACTATAGGTTAAAGACAGACTAGAAAGCACTCTTTAGAGAGAACAAAGGAAAGAGTCACATTTCTTGTGTTCAAAGAACGAATTCATCTGGCATGAGACCTTCATATTGGTTACTGTTTTATAACGCTTTGAGCCATTTTCTGCTTTTTTCTGCTTTGAGAGGCAGATTTCCACTTCGGGGGGCGGACTAGGTTTTCCATGCTGCTGCTCTCAGCAAACAATATGATTTCTCACACATATTTCTCACAAATAAGGTGGCATTTGCTCTCAACATGTTCCCGCTTTCTTTTTCTGCAAAGCTAGGTAAGCAAGTACAGCTTTACCTTGGTGAGTTTTTCTCGAAGGATTCAGGATCTGCATCTGTAGACTACACAAAGAGAAATAAGACAAATTAATAACACAATTATAACAGCAACCATAGATCCTCCAAGTGTTTTTACCGAAGCCACAGGGTTCAGGGGTGCGATTCCATCAGCAGCTCCCTCAAGTACTTCAGTCCCTGGAATTAAAGTTAAATGTGCTTGAGAGACTTGAAAAACTTGCTCCTTTAGTTTTGGAACAAGTTTTATCAAGTCATAAATTTTTATTAAAATGTATCAAGTCATAAATTTTCAGCATGACCTTCCAAGTGACGCTTTGTTTTTTTTTCCAGTCATGTTCCATTTCATTATAAGGATGAGGAGTGATATGATAATCAGAAGTATTCCAATCACACTGTAATTGAATTTTATACTCTACCCTGTCCCCTAGCCAGAGAACAGTTTGCCTAAGATTATTAATCTGATTAGCTATACTTTGATCTATCTTTGTTTGAGAATTCCATGGTAAGGTATAGTTTTTCTGCCAATTATTAATGAACTCAGCTGTCTGTACTGATGAATGCAGAGCCATTCCTCCTGCAGTGGCTGTAGCCATGACTGCAATTAGACCCATAGTAATTAAAATTAAGGTGGCAATGAAATTCCTGGTACGTTTTAGAACGTTTTGTAAAATTTAAGTGAAAATATGTACTGATAGGGATGCTTTCCCTGGACAAGACAGATTTACTGGTAGCCATATTTCCTCTTGGGTTCTCACTAGTAATATATAGAGTTACAGTGTCAAACCTGGAGGCATTGATACGAGAAAACAATTTACCATTTTAACATGTTACCTTGGAGTTAAGAAAATTGATCTGTAACCTTCCCACTACTAAAAGATAAGGAGGTTTAAAACGGCTCTGAATCCAGAGTTCCATTTTTCACAAATTCCAATGAATAATAATGATTGTAACGAGATCCTGTAAAATTTCCTTCCCAGACCTTTATTGGTTTCAGGGCCATCAATAATTGCCAAAGTTTTTTTTGTTCAATTCTCAATTTTGGCCACATCATTCTTGGTCGTGGTCCTACCATGCTCCCATTTCTTCACGTAATAGGGACATTTGTTTCAGCGCGTGTTGACTCAAAACTGTTATTAATTGTTTATACCACCTAAGTAATTCCGTGTCATGACAAGAAGGCTGACTGATACAATTAATGCTAAATATCCCCTTAGGGGACCAATTAATAACAATTCCGTGGGAATTATTGGGCAGCACCTCAGCCTGTGCTGAAATACAATCTTCCCAAAATTATTATTTTCACTTAGAGCACCACTCTTTATTTTGTCTGTATTTAGGTTTTGGGGGGTGAAACATAGTTGTTTTATTTCCTGAATTGCTATAGGCCAGAAATCATATTTGAATAAAGGAGAAAAAGAAACATATGCCCAGTATGTGACACTTCCTCTCGCTTCTGCCCCAGCTCCAGGAGTACTCAACCGCTGCTCATGATAAGGCTTTAAATGTCTGGATGGTACCCACGCCTGTTGTTGATTTGAACCTGGAGAAATGCAAACAAATCCTCTCCTCCATGTTATTACATTGCCTTTTCAATTCTTTGTGAGTGGATCTCACCACCAGATAAATTGCCTTAAAGTGTCTTCTTTGGTTGGTTCAGCCAGGTGTTGTTCAGCCACTGTTATCGGTCCTCCTTAGCAAACTTAAATCTTTAAAGTTAGTAATGCTGTTAAGTTGCATTCGTGGGGTCCTATATTCACTGTCCCCCCTTTTGTTTTTCTTCAAATGTTGTTTAAGAAAAAGATTTATTCATTCCCCAATAGCTTGTCCCTGAGAGTTATATGGGATACCTGTAATATGAGTAATGTTTCATTGTTTAAAAATGCTGCTAAGGAATGACTAACATATTCTGGGACATTGTCAGTTTTTATGGAAGAGAGAATTCCTATAATGGCAAAACACTGTATTAGATGTAGTTTGACGCAGGCTGATGGTTTACCAGTTTGACAGGTTGCTTAAACAAAAAGAGAAAAAGTATCTACACAAACATGTACATAGGCTAACTTTCCGAAATTAAACGTAGGTAACGTCCATCTGCCACAAAGTGGTTTTAACCCCCAAGGGTTTACACCTGCTGAATTGGAGAGAAAATTGACTGACAAGTTGAACAGGTTTGAATAATCCTTTTAGCTTCTTCCCAGGTTAGATTATATTGCCTTCTCAGTCCTGTTGTGTTTAGATGAGTCAGTGGGTGAAAATGTTGAGTATCAGAAAAGACTGCAGCCACTAGCCAATCTACAGCCTGCTACTAGGGGCCCTGAAAGAATAGTGTGAGCTCTAGGATGAGTAATGTAAAAAAGATGCATTCTATTTTTTACTTTTGTTTATAATTGAGTAAATAGTTTTATAAGTTGATCATCTGTACTAAAACGCAGTTGAGCACACTGTCAGTCAAGTAGAGTGTACAACATATGTAGAATTAGAAATTACATTAATAGTTTTTTTTTCAAATTTGATAAAACCTGAATGACAGTTACCAACTCTGCCTTTTGAGCTGACATATGAGGAGTTTGAATAACTTTGCTTTTAGATCCTGAATAAGAAGTTTTACCGCTATTAGATTCATTCGTGAAAACATTTTCTGCATTTTTAATGGGGTTTGATTTAGTAATTTTGGTTAATATCCAATTGGTCAATTTCACAAATTGAAAAATTTTGTTTTTTGGATAATGATTATCTAAAGTGCCCATAAAATTTACCAAATAGGCTTGTCACGTTATACTATTAATATAGGCTTGCTGAATTTGAATTTTTGAAAAAGGAATTATTATTATTTTGAGGTCAAATCCATCCATGTAATTTTACAACTCGAGAATGCACAAAATTTCCCTGTGGGTCACCTGTGGAGAGCAGCCTGCAGTTATCTGGATGGCAGCCGTGCTGGCAGGTCCCAGCCAGATGCTTGCTTCTGCTTGCTGCTTTCCTGAAATAATGAGTATTAAGCTGTACCGTGAACTATGCTAAATATTTTTTAATTGTATTTTGGCTTAAATAAATGAGCAAATGAAAGATTATTTACCTGGGTGCTGAGAGCAAATTCTGCGTGAGAAATAATATGATTTGCTAGAATGGCAGCAAGAAAAACCTAGTCAGCCCCCCAAAGTGGAAAACTGCCTCTAAGCAGAAAACAGCTCAAAGCGTTATAAAACAGTAACCAATATGAATATGTCTCACACCAGATGAATTCATTCTTTGAACACAAGAAATGTGACTCTTTCCTTTGTTCTCTCTAAAGAGTGCTTTCTAGTTTATCTTTAACCTATAGTAAACATCCACTAGCTGCCTGGTTAATACTCATTATTTCAGGGAATGTAAAAGCGAAGAAAAGGAAACGAGGCCAAAGTAAAATATTAAAAGGTACAGAGACTTGTAATGACAGCCGGATGTTCACACTTGCCCTATGTTCCGCTGAGACCTGTTTAAGTATTACCTGGAATCTAAACCCCAGAGCTTTGTGGGAATCCAGAGAAGTCTCCATTTTTTTCTTCAAGTCACCAGGGCTTCCTACTTCGTGGTTCTTCCATCTCTAAATACTCATGTTTTGCTTCCATGACTCATAGCACAAAATTTGATTCTTTCACTAGTTTCAGCAGCAACAGCCACAACAAATCCACTTAATGTAAATAATTTGCCAGTTTAGTACATTAACTAAAGACCTAGGGAATCATGGGAAGTTGCACGTGGCTCAGTATGAACTTTATTTCCAGGGAATTTGGTCTCTATTGCTGATGAAAGGTCAGAGACCCTAATCAATTTCTGAGTATTTCTCCCATGGACCTTCTTTCCAAATTGCATTTTTTAACTTTTTAGTTTCAGGGGTATATGTGCAGGTTTGTTATATAGGTAAATTACGTGTCATGGAGGGTTGGAGTACAATTATTTCATCACCCTGATAACAAGTATAGTACCTGATTGTTTTTCATTCCTCACCTTCTTTCCACCTTCTACCCTCAAGTAGGCTCTGTTGTCTTTTGTTCTTTGTGTCCCGTGTACTCAGTGTTTAGCTTGCGCTTAATATGTGAGAACACCTGGTATTTGGTTTTCTGTTCCTGCATTAGTTCACTTTGGAAAATGACCTTCAGCTCCAACCATGTTGCTGCAAAGCACATGATCTCATTCTTTTTAATGGCTAAGTAGTATTTCATGGTGTAGATGTACCATATTTTCTTTATCCAGTCTATCATTGATGGGCATCTAGGTTGATTCCATGTCTTTGCTATTTTGAATAGTGCTGCAGTGAACATACTCAAGCACATGTTTTTATGG